TTTTAGTATTTGTATTTTTCATCTTCTTTTTCTTAGATGAGTCCCTTTAACATTTCATATAATAAGGGCTGGGTGAGGATGAACTCCTTTAACTTGACCTTATCTGGAAAGCACTTTATCTGCCCTTCCGTTCCAAATGATAGCTTTGCTGGATAGAGTAATCTTGGGTGTAGGTCCTTGCCTTTCATGACTTTGAATACTTCTTTCTGCTCCTTCTTGCCTGCACGGTTTCTTTTGAGAAATCAGCTGACAATCTTATGGGAATTCCTTGCTGCTTTTAGGATTCTCTCCTTTAATCTTTGGCAGTTATAGTGTGTCTTGGTGTGTTCCTTTTTGGGTCCAACTTGTTTGGGACTCTCTGAACTTCCTGGACTTGTATGTCTTATTTCCTTTGCCAGATTGGGGAAGTTTTCCTTCATTATTTCTTCAAATAAGTCTTCAGTTTCTTGGTCTTCCTCTTCTTCTGGCACCCCTATGATTTGGATGTTAGAATATTTAAAGTTGTATCAGAGGTTCCTAAGCCTCTCCTCAATTTTTTGAATTCTTGTTTCTTTATTTTGTTCTAATTGAATGTTTATTTCTTCTGTTCCACATTGTTGATTTGAGTCCCAGTTTCCTTCTCTTCACTGTTGGTTCTCTGTATATTTTTCTTTATTTCACTTTATATAGCCTTCACTTCTTCCTTTATTTTGTGTCTGTACTCAGTCATTTCTGTGAGCATCCTGGTTAGCAGTGTTTTGAACTGTGCATCTGATATGTCTCCTTGTTGCTTAATTCTTTTTCTGGAATTTTTATCTATTCTGTAATTTGGGCTGTATTTCTTTGCCTTGGTGCTCCTGTTACATTGTGAAGAGTAGAACCTTATGATTTGCCAAGGCAGGGCAACACACTTCACCATTGTGGTGCTGTATGTGGGGGAGGGGTCAGAGAGGGAACAATGCCACTTGCTTGGCTCTCGCCCCACTTTCAGTCACTTCCCCTGTTACCCACAAGCAAAATGCTCCCTTCTGGGGCTGATTCCTGGGTGGGTGGGTGGGCTTGTATATGTTCCAGGACCTCATGGACCCTTACAATGGACTCTTCAGTGAGACTGGCAGTTCCTCCCACTGCCACAACTCCAACAGGTTTTTACAGCTAGAGGTTTTTGAAACTTTCTTTTCCAGTGCAGGAACCCTGGGTTGCATGGTCTGTCTCACTCCCTAATTGTTCCTCCTGTTTAGCCACAGGCAGATGTGAGACTACCCCGTCCTCTTGCTGGCACCTCACTACCTGGTCCACCAGTCACAGCTCCCCATCTCTGTCCCCCCTACCAATTTGGATGAATGTTCCTTTTTTAACTCCTGGTTTGTCAGACTTCTGGAGTCTGGTTTTCTGGCAGTTCTTTTTTTTTTTTTTTTTTTTTTTTTAATTGGTTGTTATTCCTTCTTTTAGTTGTGTGAGGAAGCGAAGCATATCTACCTACACCTCTGTCTTGGCCAGCAGCTCTCTTGTGTTGTGATTCAGTCTTTTGTGTATTCTGATTTGATGTTGATTTCCTCCAGTGTATTTTTCATTTTAGTTATTGTTTTCTTCAACTCTGAATATTACTGTCTTATATTTTCTTTATTGTTTTTGGAGTTCTTAACTGTGTTAGTCCATTGTTCTGCAAGTTCGATGAGGATCTTTAGATCATTACTTTGAACTCAATCTGGTTGATTGCTTATCTTTGTTTCATTTAGTTCTTTTCCTGAGCTTTTTGTCTTGCCCTTTATTTGGTGCATATTCCTCCATTTCCTCATTTTGCCTAAACCTCTGGGTTTGTTTTTATGATTACCTTTGTTTCCTGTTCTTAAAGAAGTAGTTTTATGTTGGACAGGTCCTGTTGAGTTCAGGAGTCCAATTCCGTCAGACCACCAGGGATAGGTGCCCCAGGGTTGTCCCCTGAGTGAGCTGCTGCCCCCTTCTGGTTAGGCAGGGCCATAACTTATGTAGGTGCACTGGTATTTGCGGCTGGCTGCAAGTTGTGGCAGTGACTGCTGTGGACATGCCGATTGTGCAGGTTGTAACCTTTTTAAAAAAATAGACTCTGTATCTTTGCTTTTTTGTGTGCAGTATTTTTGGTAATTGCCTTAGTGTTTTGGGATCATTATTTTTCTCTATCTAATCAGTTCATGGGCTGTTAAAGAGAATCCTTTTTAGACTGAATTGTTGACATGTGTCTTCAACACAGTTTATTTGCTTCTGTCAAGTGCCGTAGAAATTTCCCTGGGATTAGACTAATTTTTATATTAATTTTTCATATTAAGGATTTATAGGACATTTAGGTGGTATTAATTCAAACCCTGTACCCACTTGGAACTGAGGTTATGTATTCTCAGGAAGGACTTCTCTCTATTCCTGGAGCCCAGGCCAAGATAAAGATGTTTCATTGTCTTATCCCTTCTCTTATCTAGCCTTTTTGAGGGACCATCTTTATGAACTGATTTTGCTTCTGACTTCCTAAATTAGAGTCTCAATTCCTAGATTACTGAAACTGACAGTCCCTCTCTGCCTCAGAAGAGCTGCAGGTTAGGTTATATACCTTAGGTGCTTGCTTCTCTTTGTGTCTGGCTTCTGGGCATTTTTCTTTTACTTTGTACATTCATCTTATTGCCTTTAAATTTTTTCAGTTATATTTTATCTAACATCTGGTGCTTTCAGGTTATCTAGATCACCTTATTGCCTGTACCTGAAATGTGTATTAATTTTGTAATAAAAGGTATTCTTGTCCTTATCCCTTTTTGCTAAGATTGGAGATATGTGAAGCATAGAATTGTCTGGAAGTAAACATACTAAAATAATCACCTGTTCTGTCACTATACAAGCTGAGTAGTATATAAATTTTGATATATTTCTTTTGAATTGACTCATTTTAGGTTACTTCTTATGTCGAAAGGCTTAAATCTTTGTGCCCTTTCTTCAAAAGGGTGAAGGTGGTAACTTGGGAATATTTAAAATACCAATTTGTCCATCAAGGTTTGTGCTTGATTTTCTTTCAGCCAGCAAATACTGCAAAATGTTAGTTGAAGAAAAAGGATTGCAGCTTTTGTGTGACATCCAGGAGCACAGTGAGGCAGACGCCCAAGCACAGAAGATTGCAACCTCCATTCTGGATGACTTCAGAATGCACTTCATGAATTATCAGAGACTCCCTTTGCGTTAAGCCGAGGGGCTGCAGACGTGCTCTTTGTTGCTCAGTGGCAGGCAGGTCTTCCACCCTGTCAGTTACCAGATGGCTGCATTTGTATGAAGGCCTTAATCCTAAATCGAGTCAGAATTGTTCTGAGAACACTGCTGCAGCAGTTTTGAAAAGTCAAGCCCTGGGGTCCGGGAAGACCTGTGAGCTTGTGTGGAAACACCGATGCCAGTCACTTTTCTCTAGCCCTTGGTCAATTCCTTAACTCTGGGAGTTTGTCATTGGAAGGTGTGCCTACAGGCACACCTTGATATTTATGTTAAATTCTGTGTTTGAAAGAAACTTCCTGAGTTGTTATTCCTGGTTATGTGCAGCCACTGGAAAAGAAGTACTTGAAAAGTAGCCTGAGAAACCTATGCTTATATAAATGTGTTTGTTGGAAGACAGAACTTATGTTGGAAGGTAGAAAAAAACTACCTTATTAAGGATATAGATAATAAAGTACCTTCTACTTGTAGGGTGGTGGAAAGATATAATTTTTTTTTGCAATTTTCAATATTTTCCTTGTGGCCTTTACCCCTCCAACTTTACACATTAAACTGAGTGGCATAACATTCTGTGGATATGGGTATGCTGGAGGGGCATGGTAGGATTTAGGACTGAGAATGGTGTGTAAGTAGAAGATTGGGAATTGTATATCTCAATCCTTCAAACTTGAGTATGGCTGTGATTAGAACTGAGAGGGACAGAAGAGCCCTTTTCTGAAGATTTCGAGAGGGTCTCTTACCTAGCATGGAGACAGGAAAAATATGGACATTTCTGAGAACCAGCCTCAGTCACTATATAAACTGTCAGAAGCTTTTGTTTGTACTCTCTGCAAATCCCCTCTGTAGAAGAGAGTGTGGGCTCCTTCCTTGACGTATTATTGACAACAAAACATGTTTTGCCATTCATGTGTTTTAAGTTTTCCAAAGAAGAAAAATCAATTCCTATTTTATTAGTAGTGTGTTTTAGGACTAGATTTTTATTCTCTTAGGGTGGCCACATGCTTAACTGGAATGCTACATACCATCTTTTGGAAGCAAATGAGGCTTATTCTAAACCATATTCCAAACTATTGCTCACCAGTGTCCCACTGGATAAGGTGAATTTGTAACCTTCTTCCTCCTACAGTCCCAAAACTGCACTGTATTTTCTTTCATTCACTTTTCTGTGTGATTCAAAAGCCATCTTAGTTTCCTGTTCTCGGTTCTAGTAGTTCAGAATATTCTATTATCAGATACTAACTAGGTTTTGCGATTGTAAGGGTGTGGGATGTTGTGCTTGTTGAGGTCTAATTCTACACTAGGTACCCCTCCGACTTTCGTCTTATTCACAACAGTCCTCTGGCGGTTTAATCTCCCCCACTTCACAGATGAAAAAAGGAAGTTCAGTAAGGTCTGTTACTTGCCTGAGTAGTTTGCAGCTGATTCTAGAGCCTAGGCTCTTTTCCCTTCTAGGAAATGAGCACAGCTTTGGAGCACTTTTGTATTTGACAGTAAATTAATATTGGGTGTGTCCATGCCCACGACTGAGTGACTCTAGGCCAGGCATGGGCTTAGGAAGCTTAGATCTGTTCAAGAATGACCACGAGGCCCTGGTGAAGGATGTAGCCTTCTGTTCCTCTGCCTTGGTACAGGAGGGTGGTGCCTGATAGTAGTGTGCACATACGCATATCGGCCCCCTTTGTTTCTCAGTGTGTCGTGCACCTGCAGAGATTGGCCTGCCACCCTGTAGTTTACAAAAGGTTTTCACAGCAATGCTTTCATTCGGTTCTCACAAGAACACTACACATTAATAACTCATATATTGAACATGAGGCATTTTACTTTTAAAAAGATCCTCACAACAGTTTCATTTTGAAGATGAGGAAGCTGTGGCACACAGTGAGTAATTGGCAGAGAGCTGGAATCTGCAGCCTGATTGCTGGCACCTACTCACCTATCAGGGTTTTTTTATGACCTCAACTGCACAGTTAGAAACCGGGGTGGGGGGTAGGAATCTTACAACCTCTTGCCATTTCTGGTGAGTACCTTATAACTTAAAGGCAGAGGTCAGGCCTGAGAGCCAACAATACAAAAACCCAGAGGAGTCCATTTTAATTCTTAGTTTATCATTCAAATAGGGAGACAGGTATTCTCCAAGCAAACATGACCCCAGTTATTAGCTAGCCAGGATGAATGATGAAGGTAGTGGTCTTTGGCATGGTCAGCACCTTAGTACCAGGCACCATATCAATTGTTTTATATCCGTCATTGTCCTTGTGAGGAAATCGAAGCCCAGAGAGGTGAAATAATGAGGGCAGTCACGCTGTAAATTTTCCTTTTGGATCCTGCACTTCAAGGTATGCATCTCCCATGTTAGAGATTAAGTGGGAGTCACTTGCCCACAAATCTTGGGGGTCGTTTCTCCCTGAAGGCTGCCATGCCCTCTAGCCGGTCCTGGGTGGGGATGTTCTGAAACAACAGAATACTAGTTTGTGAGGGAGCAGGGCCAGAGAACATGAAGATTTGCTTAAGTTCGTCCAGTCCCTGACAAGTCTTGCCATTGTCTGCAGGCTCCGGTGTTGGGCCATGCCAAGGTATGGGCCTCAGTGGCTCCTTAGTCTCCTAGAGAAGGCAGGCCGCCTCTTATGGTTACAGCCTCCACTTGCATGCTGCTTACATGCCTCCAAAGAACTGACAGTCTCCTGCAGTAGTCTGATGAGGCTTTGCAGTAAGAAATCTGGCTTTGAATCTACACCAGGCCCTGCAAGTCCCAGGATGCTCCCCCTCACCCCGCATTTAATAGTGTTTTGGTTACTTGTTGACCTGGAGGTTAGTATTTTGACTCACCCAGGAGTCAGGGCTAACTAGGTCAGCCCTAGGTTGATCACCCCACAATCAAACGCATAGCCTGCAGGCTATAGTAACCAAGGCCTTGACATCCCAACTCTCCCAAGTACCATTAGATGGCAGAAAAAACAGTCCCAGAGGGAAGCAATGTGGTTCCTCTGGGATCACCCCAGGCTGATTGTGAGGAGCAAGTAGTATAGAGCAAGACCCATTGGGTTGGTAGGAACCTGCTAAATTGGTCATGTATTGCACAAGGGCCCAACCCCTGCTTACAAGCATGCATGGACTGATTGGCAGTAACCACGTACCTGGGCATAGCATATCCCTTCAATGGCCATCCCTGATGCTATGTCCACCTGTGAGAAAAAAGGCAGTACCTGGATCAGTCTGACCTTGTCCACCTCCATCTGCACTAGAGCCAGCTGCCCTTCTGTTTATACTATTCCCAACTGCTTTGTGGATTCCTCCAGCAAAGAATTACTGAGGCTTCCTGTATGCCAGTCATGAGCAGCGATGATGATGCTAAGGAGTTCCCTGCCCAGAGAGGGAACACCGTAACTGACTAAACAGTGCTGGGTCAAGTGGGGGCTGTGAGAACAGTGGGGTGGGTTGCACACAGCCCTTCAAACTGAGGAGGGCATGCATGAGCTGTGCTTGCACAGCCAGTGTTCTCTCCGTGGGCTGCCTCACCGTGCCTCCTGTCACCACCCCCATTAATGAACTCTGCAGGCTTTCCCTTGCTCTTAGGAATAAAGCCCTGGGCCTTCATGACCTGGCCCCTGGCAACTTCCCAGCCTCCACTGACTGCCCAGGTTACTATTACTACTGCTTAACAAGTACTGTTCTAAGAGAAGTACTGCATGTATGTAAACTCAATGCAAGGGTTACTATCCCTACTCTGCAGTTCAGAAATCTGTAGCATGGAAAGGTGATGGAATTTGTCTGTCATAGCAGTATGTAGAAAAACAGGTCTTTGAGCCCAGACAGCCCCACACCAGAGCCCATGCCCCTGACCTCCATGCTTTGTTGTCGCACCACTTCCTCCCCTTCAGTCAAGTCGCCTCTGTGCTTTTGCTCATACTTTTCCCTTTTTTCTGGAATTCTCTCATCCTTCCCAAGTCCCAACTCTAGAAAATCTTCTCTAACTCAGCCCTACCCAGTGGGACAGTGCAGCTCTAACCTTTCCAGGGTGTCTATCTGGTACCCCTGACCTTTTATTAGTGATCTGGGTCTGTGTCTGTCCCCCTCCCCACCCTGGGGGCAGTGGCCATATTTGACTTATCTCTGTCCCAATGTCTGGCTCAGCTCTAGATTCAGTGTGTGATGTATGATTAAGTCAGTTGATGTGTAAGGGTGGATTAGTTGCACCCAAGACTCCACACTGATTCCTGTCCTTAAGGCCACACTACTGACCATCAGCATAAACCCAAGAACATGGACTGGGAGCTACACAGACCTGGTTTTTATTAGTTGCTCTGTGTCCCTGGATGAGTTGTTTACCCTTTCTGAACCTGTTTCCTACTCTCCAAGGGAAAAAGATGAGGATGTAATCTGGACTATCCCCTTGGCCAAACTTTACATTTTGTAGATGGGTAAACTAAGGCACAAAAAGGGAGAGTCAGCTTTGAAGTGTGTTGTTATAAGAAGAGTGCAGTTCCTGAGTCCTTTCCAGCTGTGCTGTCAGAGTGGTGAGCCGTGAGAGCTCTGCCTCCCAGCCACCCCACTGGCTTCAGTGGGTCCAGGTCTGACCAGGGCCCTCTTACCTCCATTCCTCGGTCAATGGCCACTTTGCCCAGCCGCACAGCAATGGGGGCCTAGGGAAAAGGAAAAGCTTGGTTGAGGGGATCAGTGCTGATGGGGGTGGGCAAAAGTAGGTTAAATTACCAGCCATCATTACCTAAACTATAAATCAAAAGAATACAAAATAGCAATAATAATGATAAATAATGCAAGAATAAACTGTTTCATGTACTCACAACTGTAAACCTACTTTTTCCCCTCCCTGTGTTAGTATATTTATGTTTCTGAGTATAAAGATATATCTATGAGAAATCTAATAATTTCATGTTATTTGGAATTATGAAGTGAGTCACACACACTATGGCCACATTATGTTCAAGTAAAAAACATCCATATTTTAAAGCATAATGAGTAGTTAGTTACTCTAGAGGGAAAATCTGAGTGGTAAGTTGCAGGCCTTGCATTTATTAAAAATCTTTTTTGAGCCCTAATATCTGGAACCATTTGACTCCCTAATCTTGGTGGTTTGTCCACTGGAGGGAAGCCATCTACCACACCATCCCTAGCACCCACCTATCCAGCAATTGCTGGAAGTTGAAGATTTGTATTTAGGTTATATCAAATGGTCCGGCATGGGTTAGTGACTGTGGTGCTAGTTTTTGCTATGCTGGTGTTCTGGAGTGCAAAGCTGCTTTCAAGTACTGAAATACTAGTACGTACATTAGTGGAATACTGTTATTTCAGTATACTAAAAATCTGAAATCAGAATCCTTTTGAGATCAAGTTCAAAGATCCAGTCACACAGTTTTTGCAGAAAGACATAAATCCTCCAGTCTACAAGTCTTGGTAGGCAGGCCCCTCTGTGAAAGTGCAGTCAGCCACTACCTTGAGTCAGTCAGGTTTGTGTTGGTCCAGATAATTTGTGACTGAGTGTAATAGAAATCTGACAGCATTAGAGCAGTCCTGGCAACACCTTCGGACTCTCCATTTATATGTGATGAAACAAAGAAGACAAAACATGCTTTCTTTTAAACCAAACTCACTATCAGTTTTTAAAAGTTATAGTCCCTGCCCTCAAGGAAGACCTCAAACTTATAAATAAAAAGAGGTAGGATTATTTAAACAGGAGAACTGAAATTTTTTCCAAAGTAAAATACTTATTTTCATGATTAATAATTCAAACAATTTTTTACCCCTCCCAATTCATACTGTTCTGTTAGTATTAAAATGATGTATGGATAACAATTTTATAGATTTACACTTTTTGTTTTGTAATGTTTGTAAAACTTCATATTTGAAATGTAATAGTTTCAGTTTTTGAAATTTTGTACATATTCTGTACTCTTGAGAATAAAACACTAGTTTTTATATTGTATGTAGTTTTTGTATTATGCAAAATAAATGCCAAAATACCAGTATTGTCTCTCTGTATTGCAGTCATTTTTTGGTGACCCTGATGAGCAAGTCACCTAAGCTTTTTGGGTCTCTCATACCACACACAGAGTGAAGACAATCAGCTTAGCTGGGTTGTTCTGGTCATGGACACACTAGGATTGTGTCTGATGGGTGGAGATGCTCCATGTGGGCTAAGTCAATATTTATAATAAATTAGTAAAACCTGGCTCCATTTAGCTGCTTTCTTACCTTAACGGAAACTTGGGACCTACCTTTGGGTTGTGTTGGAACATGAGAAGCTGGTAGAGGCTCTCATGTCACTCAGAGCCAGGCGTCCTGCTGAAGGCTTTGGGCCCGGCAGCCGCTAGTGCTGCACCTAGGCAGAGCCTTCACCCAATCCCGCATTCTCTGAACCTTTTCCGAGGATTTGCTCAGAGGCTCTTCGAGGACTTAAAAAATGAGCCCTAACTAATGTCCTACATGACACCCTCCAAGAATTTCCCCACCGTGCTGTATGGCCAGAAGATGGGCTTACGGTTCTTTATCTTGCTTTTTTAGTTTTGGGGACTCATTGTTCTGTCCAGTATAGTGGCCACTAGCCACATGTAGCTATTAGCATTTGAAATGTGGGGAGTGCCAGTGAGAAAGCAAATTTTTAAATTACATTTAAATAACTGCATGTGGCTAGAGGCAGCCTTAGGGACAGCACAAGTGTAGTAGAACATTTCTGACATCTCAGAAATTTCTCATGGACAGCGCTATTCTGAAGATTTGATTCTAGTCCCTCAGAATTCAGTTTTCATTTTAACCTAAAATTTGATTTAATTTTGTTTGCTGGATGGCTAAATGGATACAAACTCCAGAAAGGGTGGATTTTATAAGTGGTGAGTGGGTCTTGCATGGCCCTGTGGCATGGCCCAGCCTCCCCACACCTATGTCCCCCATGGCACAGCCCTCCCTCCTGTGCTGGGCTGCCACCACACCTGGGGCAGGATCTCCTGGGCCAGTTCTCGTGCCCGGTGGTAGGCTGCATTGCCCTCCTTGTTCTGGGTCACAGCGTGATTCACCAGCCCCAGGGCCTGGGCCTGCACCCCACTTAGTCGTCGGCCAGTGAAGATGAGCTCCTTTGCCAGGGCCACCCCCAGGCATCGAGGCAGCCTCTGAGTCCCTCCTGCCGGGACGGAATAGGGGTAGTAAGTCAGCATGGGAAGTGGGAGCCCAGAGAAGGCCCAGGCTGGGAGTCAGCCAAGACTTCTTCTCAGGAGACTGAGTTAGGATAGAAGGGCAGAGCCCAGAAAACAGGGCAAAAGAGGAAAGCCGGGAAGTACTTTGGATAGAGGAATTGTGCAGGTAGAAGAGGATGGGTGCTGTGGGTGATGTTACCTGCTCCTGGGAGGAGCCCTCGGGTGGTCTCGATCAGCCCCATGACAGCAGAGGAAGCTGTGTAAACAGTGAAGCCCCACTCCTCAAATGCCAGTCCTTAGGGAGAAGTGACACCCACCTCTGGGCTCTGCTCACCCCTTCAGCCAACTACTTCCATCATGGCCTGGCCACTGCCTTTGGAAGAGCCCTGGCCTGGAGGTCAGGAGGCCCAGGCCCTCATCCTGCCACCCGGACCAGTGTGGGGGGTTGGGGGTGTGCATCACCAGGCAAGTCTCTCACCCTTTCTGAGCCTCATAGGTGGAAAAAAAGATGACTGCCCCTTTTTGGCCTGCTTCAAAGAGCTGCTAAGGATCAAATGAGGTAATGGTGATGGAACAAGGAGGGGGCTCCTGGAAAATGCCCAATACCTATTTGTGGGTTAATGCATTCTCTCTCTCATGCAACTTAGCTCTGCCTCCCACCACAGTTATTCCTCCCAGTTTTCCATCAGCCTGAACTTTCCCTGTGTTCTGTCCACATCCTTCTTCATAGTTCTGCTTCCTCTGAGAAGCCCTCCTTGGTGTTCCACCCCACAGGCTTTTCTCCTGAGTTCCCTCTGGCCATCTGAACCACGCAGTGTGGGAATGGCCACCACTCCTGCCTATGAGGTGTTTTACACTCACTCTCTCCTATTGCCCAAACCCTACAAGTTAGTTATCTTCAACATGGAGAAGGGGAGAAGCAGAGTTGGGGCTATGACCTGGCCAGGTATTTTGATGCCTTCTCTTGACGTGCATTGTATAGATGAGCTACCTCTGGCTGGAGTCACACATTTTTTAATGTCCTGGCATGGCAGGAGAAAGCACTAGGGGAAGAGGCAGCACTGTGATGGACTTTTTTTCTAACAGCCTTCAAGAGCTCCCACCTAACCACCAAGTCAGTAAGGTTAAAAATGTAATCAGGTACCTTCTTCATCCCCTCCCTCCACTCTTCAAAGCTCAGTTGCCTGGAACAATGAACCAGAGGGCAGTGCTCCTGCCTGGGCATGTTTGTGTTTAGCTGGGCTGGGACTCTGCTCCAGTGGCTCATTTTGGTCAAATCATGATAAGGAAAGCTGGCTTGGATACAACTGGAAGGTTAAATAACTCATCTTGTCCTCACCCACCCTCTCTGTGCTCTTTGTTCTGTTCTGGCAGCAGTGGCTCTGAGGTTGGTGGGAGCACTCTGGAGATGAGGGAAGCTGCTGCTGAGGTGATCAGTACCACAGCAGTCAGGGGCTTGGCCAGGAGGGGAACCAGCTTCCCCCCTTCACTCCCTCTGTGTCTATCACCTTGGCCTTTAAATCTGCTGTTGGTTAGATAGCCAACAGCAGTGGCTGACTTCATACAATCTCCAGATACCCTGTTTTACTCACCCTTTCCTTCCCACCCTATCCCACCTCTCCTCCACCCAGTACCTGCCACTCGGAGGTCACAAGCCAGGGCAAGTTCCAGGCCTCCACCCAAGGCAGTCCCATCCATAGCAGCAATGGTGGGTGCAGGGAAGGCCGCTGTGGAGATGAAAATGGGCTCAGCATGTGGGGCTGTGGCAAGAGCAGCACAGGGACCCACGATTGGAGAGGGGCTAGCTGGTTGGGACAGAGGGCCTCACCTGGTACCTCAGCCAGGTTATTTTAGAAGTTAGTTTTTCCAACAGGGAAATTTACGGGACCAGCTTAGGAACCAGAGTGGGGAGATGGGCTGGGTGATCCCTGCTCAGGCCCCCTCTCTGGCCCGCTCTCCTGCTGGATACTCTGGGCTGGTCACTCTACTCACCCTTCTTTTCTGTATGCCAAGCCCTGTGCTGGGTGCTGGGAACACAGAATTGAATCAGACACGGGGAAAACAGACCCAGGGTGATCAGTGCTGTTAAAGGAAGCTTGGAGGATGGGTCAGGGAAGGCTTCCTGGAGGAGGTGGCCTTAAATGATGAGTAAAAAGTTCAGGTGGCCAAGAAGGGATATTCTAGGCTAAAGGAACAACTGTCAAAGCCTGAAAGCATGTTTGATGAAACTTTGCACCTCTGGAATAGCCAGGCTTGAATGCTGAGGTCATCACATGGGAGGTAGGTGTCAAAACCAGCAGGGCACTAAGGCTGAGGAGCAAGAGCCCCCTGTGAAGGAAATGCCTTCTATACCCCCTTGCCACCCTCCTCCTCGTAGAATTCCTTGTGCCCATCCTCCCTGGGAGAGTCATTAGTCTCTCCACAGAGCTCATCAGACACTGTCCTCTCTTTAGAGTAGAGGATGGTGGGTGGGGCTTCAATCAGCAGGGCCCCTGAGTGTCCTCCTCCACCCCCTTCCAGGACCCTCACCAATCTCATTCATCAGGCCTCGGAGCCGCTGGACACAGGCCCCCACCTCAGCCTCATTCATCTGCTCCCGCTCCTTCAGGTCTGCACCTGCAAGTGAGGGATTGGTGACAGTCCCTGGGGAATAACCCATTACCAAGTCCCAGGCTGTTAGAGGATCCAGCAAAGGACACCTGAGGAGGAGCAGCAAGAGAGGAAGGAGAAACACATGGAAGCACTGGTCAAGGAAGCCAGGGAGGGAAGGGGGGAGGGGATCAAAAACGAGAGGGTCCCACAACAGAAAGGAAAATTGGACCTCATTGAAATACAGAAATTGCATGCGTCAAAGGACACTATCAGGGAGTGAAAAGACAGCAAACAGAATGAAAGAAAATATTGGTGAATCACATTATCTGATAAGGGACTAATAACTAGGGCACATAAAGACCTACAACTCAACCACAACCGCCCCCCCCCCCAACCCCGCCCCGCCAGTGGACAAAGACTTGAGTAGACTTCTCCAAAGAAGATATGCAGATGGCCAGTAAGCACATGAAAAGGTGCTTAGTCATCAGTCATTAGGGAGATGCAAATTGCAAATGAAAATCACAATGAGTTAACTTTCCGCACCCGTTAGGATGGCTCTTATAAACCACAACAGCAGAAAAGAAGTTGGATGTGGAGAACCCTGGTGGGATTATAAAATGATGCAGCTGCTGTGGAAAAGCCTTTTGGTGGTTTCTCAGGAAAGTTAAATGTAAAATTACTATGATCTACTCCTAAGGATACACCCAAAAGAATGGAGAGTAAGGACTCAAACAGATCCTTGCACACTAATGTTCATAGCGGCATTATTCACAGTAGCCAAAAGGTGTGAACAATATGGTGTCCAACAATGGATGGAAGAACAAAATGTGTATATGTACAATGGAATATTATTGAGCCAGGAAAAGGAATGACATTCTGATTCGTGCTCCAACATGGATGAACCTTTAGGACACTATGCTAAGTAAAATAAGTCAGACATAAAAGGACAAATGTGTGACTCCACTGGTATGAGTACCGAGAATGGGCAAATTCATAGAAACAGAAAGTAGATCGGAGGTGGGCAGGGACATTGGTAAGAACAGTGACTCTGGTGAGCTCATCACAGGTCAGATGGTAGGAGGCTGAGGTGAGAGTAGAAGGAGAATGTAGTCTTTCAAGTCCTAGACTATACCAAGTCTGACCTGGCGGAGCCCTTGGAAATCTTTGATTAGTTCCAGCCCCTCAATGACAGATGGGGAGACTGAGTTCCCAGGAAGGGGCAGGGACTAACCCAGGTTTCCAGAGCAAGTTGGGAGCAGACCCAGACCTCTGGCAGCCTGCTAATCTGGGGTAGTAAGGAATGGCGCCCACAGGGGCAGGAAATGACCTTGATAGAGGAGGTCAGACAGAGATGGAGGTAAAGGAAGAGACCAGGGTAAGATGAGCACCTCAGCTGGGGCAGTTGGGGCAGGCCGACTGGTCTGCCTCCTTGCCCTGCAGGGCAGACTCCAGGGCACCAAGATTCCAACAGGTCAGATCTAGGGACTGAGCCCCATCCCCTTGAAAACTCCTGAAAATCATATTCCTCCCATCCTATCCCTCCAACAATGGAAGGATAGACAACAATGGAATGGACCACTTCCCCACCTCCCCAGTGACCCCCATGACCTTCTCCCCAACCATCCCAGCATGGGTCCTTAGCTCAGCTCAGCTCAGCTCTTGCTGACTTGCTTCTTGTGGGCCTGGGGTGTGGTGTGTGGTATTTCTTTGAAACAGAAGTTCATTGTACTTGCTCTGTTCTGAGGACCAAGTGGTGCCAGGAGAGTGGAAGGCTTTGGTGACAGGACAGGGCAACGGGCACAGAGTTCCATCTTGGCCACTGACCCTATGACTGTCTTTATTCAGTCTCCTTATTTCCTCAGTAAAGGGCCAGAACACAGCATGGTATAGTGGGAAGAATAAGGATTTAGGGGTCAGAGAGGCCAAGTTCAAATTGAATTCTATTATACCTCTTACTGGCTATGTAACCTTTAGGCCAGGAATTTTACTTGAGTCTTGATTTTGCATCTGTAAAATGGGAGTAGTAAGTCCTATGCTAGAGCTGACCTAAGTCCTCCTTCCCAACCCCTGCAGGCTGGTGGGAGCCCTGATGAGCTCTGGGGTGGGGGGAGGGGAGGAACCCACCTGCACAGAACACACCCTTCACTCCACTTCTGAAGAGCAGGACACGCACTTGCTGGTCTTCCCGCAGCTGAGCCAGAGCTTCCAGCAGCTGCGGAGGAGACCCTGTCAGATATGGGCCACCCCAGCCCCAACCCACCCTGGTGTCCGCCCTTTCTCACCTCACTGACGAAGACGTTTCCCAGGGCGTTGCGAGCACGCGGTCTGTTCATTATAATCTCGGTGATTCCTGCAGTGGACCGAGCAACCATGGGTGAGTCAGCTGGCCTACTCACTCCTGGGCTGGGGCTTGGGCAGCCCTGCCCCTGAGCAGCAGTGTGACTTGGGAAAATCACACATTCCCAGGCCTCAGTTTTCCTGCCTGTAGAATAGACAGACTAACCCTCACCCTTTCTGTCTCACCAAAGAAGTGAAGGGCTTGTGAACTCTAGAGAACATGGGGAGACAGACAAGAATTACCACCACAGTGGCTCCTGCCTGCCTCTGCCATTGTTACACACACACCCCCTTTCCCTTCACTTTCTCAGCTCACTCCATGTTATTCCCTTCGCAGCCAGACTTCCTCCTTTAGAGTTCAGTAAGTTATAATAAGCCAACACCTTTGTGAGCACCACCCAGAAAACCCTCACGTGCTCTCTGTCATAGCCCCCTCCTCAGCTTCAAAAGTAACAACGCCCTTGACTTTTAGGCATCACTTCCATGCATTTCATCACCCAAGTGCCTGTCACTAAACATTGCAGTTTAGACTTGCAAACTTTAAAAAACTTGATGTGTCTTTTAAAAGCTTGTTAAGAATCCTCAGTTTCAGACTCTAGGCTGCCTTTCCCTCAATACCTACTTATTAAGGAACATGGGACATTTGACAGGTAGGGTTTCCTGGATTTTGCAGACTGCATGCTCACATGGCAAGTCAGCAGGTTCCGCTGTCCCAGGAACTTACCGACCAAACCCAGCCAGTTCACTCACATTCTGTCGCCTTCGGCAAGAGACTAACACACTCGCCCTACCTGTGACGATGTTTCACCAGCAACAGCTAAGCTTCCTGAAAGAATGTTCGGTGCTTATTTAAATCACTTTCTTGCCTTCCACTCACTTAAGCCTTCTCCAGTGGAGCTCCCACTCCTCTCACTCAGCAGGAACAGTTCTCACCCAAGTGACCACATCACTAACTAAGGGATAAGTTTCTATGCTGGTCGCAGCCTTAGCACAGTTCACTGTCGACCATATATACAGGTTCCTCCTTGAACATTCTCTGCCTTGGCTTTTTAAAAAGAAACTTAGATTTTTTTGTTTTGTTTTGTTTTGCTTTTTTCTTTTTCTTTTACAGCAGTTTTAGGTTCACAGCAAAAGTGAGCAGAAAGTACAGAGTTCCCACATACCCGCTGTTCCCCAATACACACATAGTACCCCCCACTATCAACATCTTGCACCAGAGCAGTACATTTGTTACAGGAGACAAACTGACATGGAAGTGTTATTATCATCCAACATCCACAGTTTACTTTAGGGTTCGCTGTTAGTGTGCTGTGTCTGAGGGTTGTGACTAATATATATCTGTAACACGCATCTGCCTGGTGGTCCCACATTCTCCTGGCCCCTCGTTCCTCTCGGATACTGCTCTGCACTTCTTTTCTAGGTTTTCTTCTACCCAACTTTTTAAATTCTTAACTCATTTACTAAACACAGCTATAACAAATAAGTTCAGGGAATGTAATGGTGACTATGGTTAATAGTATTATTTATTTGAAAGTTGCTAAGAAAGTAGATCTTAAAAATTCGCAGAATAAGGAAAAAAAATGTGTAACTATGTGGTGGTGGATGTTAACCAGACTTACTGTGGTGGTTATTTCACAATGTACCAGATATCGAGTCATGTTGTTGTACCCCTGAAACTAATGTAATGTTATATGTCAATTATACATCAATTTTTAAAAAGCCCGACTCTTACAAAAAGCAACTCCCCAAAAGAAGATATACAAATGGCTAATACGCACATGAAAAGATGTTTAATCTTATTAGTACCTAATGAGAGTTTTAAAAAGCATAATGGGATATGACTACACACCCAGTACAAGGGCTCAAACTAAAAAATCGGAAAGTAAAATCCTGTGTTGGTGGTAAAAAAGAAACCCTACATATCTATTGAACAATTATAATACATAAGAAATTGTGGGAGTTATAGCTATGTAACACTCCCTGCCCACAAGGTGCTTATAACCTAATACAAGTAAATTAAAATACGAGGTCTTGCTTTGGCTGGTGTAGCTCAGTGGATTGAATGCCGGCCAGGGAACCAAAGGGTCACCAATTCCCACTCAGGGAACATGCTTGGGTTTCAGGCCAGGTCCCCAGTAGGGGGTGTGTAAGTGGCAACCACACATTGCTGTTTCTCTCCCTCTTTGTCTCCCTCCCTTCCCTTTTCTCTAAAAATAAATAAAAATAAAAATCTTAAAAAATACGAGGTCTTGAGTAAGGTAAGTACGTGAAGTACTTACAGGATTTCAGATGACAGCTCACAGATGGAAGCATTTGAGCAAGGTGAGAATATTTACAAATTTTCATTTCAGGAATGAGATATAGTGGAAAATGGACTATGCAATTTTTTCTTTTTTTCTTTGTTTTAACATTTAAAGATTTTATTTATTTATCCACCTAGCTAGAAAACTGTAGGAAACCAGGACAGAGAACTGTAATATTCAGGCTAGGTGGACTTCCTTAACCACCTCAGAAATTTTCAAAGAGTTCACTGAGTCCAGCAGGTCTGGAGGTCCCACAGAGGGACTCCTATGTCCCTCATGGTCCTTTCCAGCTTGGGTGCTTCAGAAGAGAAAATGTTGCAACTTGGGGGAAGATGAACTGTGGTGGATACAGAGAAACCATATCAGAGGGGTTGAGGAAAACAGTCTAGGTCCAAGGTCATTGTGGCAGACAGACCCCTCGAGTGGACCCTCTGTTCGCATCCCCTTCCCTCAAGTGTGGGCAGGACCTAAGAAGTGCTTCTAACCAACAGAACACAGCTAAGGTTACCAAATATTACTTCTAAGATTAGCTTCAATCATATGGCAAAGGTGATGACATGTTACTTTTGTGGTTAGGTTATGATGTATATCAGACTGTTTTGCTAGTGCACATGAGAGAAACTAGTGGACCTATGGAGAGGGTCATGTGGCAAGGAACTGTGGGCAGACTCTAAGAGCTAAGGTTGGCCAGGGTCACTGCTGTGAGGATGGCTTGGATCACAGACTTGGTGGTATGTGCAGGAGTCAGCAGAAACCACTGGAGGTAATACAGAGACCAACTGGCTTAACAACTCCTTACTGTATATAGAAGGGAAAACTGAAGCCCAGAAAAGAAGAGACTTTGCCTACGGTAACAGCTGGACCCAGTTAGCAATCCTTACTCTCAAAGAGCTACCAACCTATGAGGGAGACAACCTATGAGGGAGGCATACACATGGAAAGTAAAGGGACAGTAAGAGGTGGTAGGTAATTCCAGAAGGATTTACTTAGGCAGGGAGGAAAGGAGAGGACCCAAGTCAGGGGCATAGCTAGAATAAAACACACAGGTGAGACGGCTTAAAAGGAACCCATGGGGTGGGAGAGAAAAGATGAATGGGTCAGGCGTGGCAGACGAGAACACCCTGCTAAGGGAGGAGTTGGAGTAGAGCCATAAAGAAGAGGGAAGAGTGGTTAGCAAGCCAATCTCACTTTCAAGGACAACAGGTAAAATGTCACTACGCTCTGATGCCATCCGTCCAATAGGAAGGCAGAGCCTGTGACTTCTAACATCAAATGGTCCCAAATCATTTGGGGGTGGGGTGGGGAGGTGGTGTTTCTGGTGTGGGAGTCTCCCCCTCCTGGCCTCCTCCACTCTTCTTATCTCTGCCCCTCAGTGACTTTCTAAATGCCCTCAGGCAGGGGCAAGAGGCTTAGTCTGCTGACCCTTGTTATTTCTGGATAATAAGGTTCTATCGGCAAGGTCTATGACCCCAGATGATGTTTTTTACTGATGTACAAGTCTGGGTTTTGTACAGAAGAGGCAGTGATTATTTGATAGTTGAGAACACAGGTTTTGAAATCAGACCTGGTTCAAATTGCCCAACCTCTCTATGCCTCTGTTTCCTAATTTGTAAAGTGGAGAGAACAATCATAACCATCTCAAGGTGAGCACTGTTGCCAGTTTGGCAGTGAACTGAGCATGAGAATAACGGGTATTCTCTAAGACCCAGCAATCCCACATGGCCAGAGGAGTTTTCCTCAAGCGATGTAGTAGGATGTTGGCAGCCCCTACATGCCCTTGAAAAGCGTGGGTTACACACCAGGAAAATGTATGCCACAGTAGGGAGCAAGGAACTAGATTCATACAGCAAAGCAACTCTTCAAAAGTTAGTATGAGGAGCGGGGGAGGAAATAAGAGATGTAGAATCCAATGTCCTCTGTGTAAATTAAAGTTCTTAGTCCTGGCTGGTGTGGCTCAGTGGACTGAGTGCTGGCCTGTGAACCAAAAGGTCACCATTTCAAATTCCCAGTCCGGGCACATGCCTCGGTTGAGGGCCAGGTCCCCAGTTGGCGGGGAGGGAGCATGAGAGGCGAGAACACGTGGATGTTTCTCTTCCTCTCTTTCTCCCTCTCTTCCCCTCTGTCTAAAATAAATAACTGAAATCTTTTTTTTAAAAGTTCTCTTTCATACACTTAAATCTTAAAAAAATAGAGTAAAATTCTTTTAAGCATTTTTAAAATTTACTGATTTGAGAGGGAGAGGGAGCAAAGGAAGACGGGGACAGGGTGGGGAAAAACCAGTGTATTTATTGGTTGATTCTTGTTTGTGCCCTGGCGGGGAGAAGGAACCCGCAAACTCGGCGCATAGAGAGGACATTGTAACCAAACTGAGCTAGCCGGCCAGGAAACGAAGGTAGAATCCTGACACAAGCAATGCTACAGAAAACACGGGGAAGAGGGGATAGGACTGGGGATAAAGTAAAGAGAACGGCCCCGACTTGATGGTAGGGCGTAGCGGACTGGGTAACGATAACAGCAAAGCAAAACAAAACTAAATAAATACACCTCAATAGAAGGTGTCCTCTGGCAGAGACCAAAATACTCCCCTTTGGGTCAGCTAGACACAAAATTTAGCCGACAGCGGCCCAGCCAATCCTCCAGGAGGAGACATGTCCTCCTCTGCCCTCACCCTCCTCCCTCCTTCCCGGCCGGGTCCCGGCCCTGCACGACCAGCAGGATTGGCTTCGCCGCCTCCGCCTGCTTGGACCCTTGCCCGAGTCCTTGACCTTGGAGGGCAATCACGCCTTTTAAAGCTCCAGGGGTGTGGGTGCTTGTGCCTAGTCCCACGCCTGAGCGACTCCTCTTCCCTTCCTCACCTCCCAGGCCACCGAACCCGGGACTGAGGACGGATACTGACATAGTTCCACCTCAATTCAGGTTGTAGCGATCACTAAGGTAGTCACCCACTCTCGGGGAGTCTAGAATGGGATGCAGGAGATTTGGGACCAAATCCTGAAACGCACTGAGCTACCCTCCTACCCACTACTGGTCTCGGTCTTTCTACGTGCAGTGGACGCGCTGACCATCGTCCCGGCCCGGGCAGCAGCACCAGGCACCAGGTCCTCAGCTCTACCCCGGCTCGCCCCAGCCGCCTCCCGTGTGCTCTCAGAAAGCGCGCACTCGCCTTTGTCCGGACCCTCCAGGGCGCGCACTTGGATCTCCGGGTCCCGGGCCGTTCCATCCGAGGCGCTGCTGCGGGCCCCAGGGGGCCTCCAGGGCCGCGTTAGGCTCAGGGCGCTGGTCAGGACACGCAGCATCTGGGCGCAAGATGGAGAGGAGCCGCTCCACTTCTCCACAGCGTCCTCTCCCACTGAGCGCGCGCTGCTGGGCCACCAGGCCTTCGCGAATTGCTCCACCTAGGGGCCGATAGGCCCTCACCGATCTGCTCACTTTTTGGAGACCCGGGGACCTTGAGATTGGGGAAAGCCCAGCTCCGCAGCCTAGTTTGGGGCAAGGAGGTCAACTTTTGTTAAGCATGAGTATTTTAAGTCACTGTGATAGTTACTACTGAAAAAGATAAAGGCAGAAGCCAATTAAAGTACCGACAACAGATTTAAACAGGTAATATGCTAATGTAAACCAGAAATGTTCAGCTTGAACTGAACGCTTTGGGCTCAGGGCGGGAGTTCACAACGGGTTGGGGAAGCAGTCCATCACAGCCATTGGATAAAAAGTTTTTCAACCTGGAGCCGCCCCTTCGGGTTTAGGTTCTCTACAGTAAGGAATGTGGCCTGGAGCAGGGTCTGAGGCTGGGAGTAGGGATTATCCAGAAACTGGATTCACAAAAGGGTAGCCTGAGGAAAATTTTTGGACTGTTGGAATTGTTCTGTATGCTGTAATGGTGGTAGTTTGGAAAAGACAACCCATGTGTTGTAACTCACGGGACAATACACTAAAAAGGCCCCCTAGGGGTGTGTGTGTGTGTGTGTGTGTGTGTGTGTGTGTGTGTGTGAATTCCACTACATGTCTGCCTGAAACGAAGGAAAAACCGAAGTTCAGTCACTAGCTCTGTGACCTTTTTAATCTCTCTGAAACTCATTCTCATGTGATGTTTTGTTAGGATTAAAGGGGGTTACAGAAGCAAAGGCTTTAGCACCTAGATATATTCTGTATATTTGATGTTTTTTACTTGCTGATTTTGAATTGCAAATTTGTCTACTCACAAAAATTTATTTGTAACCCCAAAATCAATTCTTGAAGAGCTCTCAGGGTGGCCAGATTCTGAGTGGGGCCTTTGTGCTTATTCCCAGCTGAGCTGAGGTCGAACAAAATCACTCAGTGCCTTGTTCCAGCTCTCATGCTGTAAACGAGTGTCCCTCTCATGATCTATTTCGTGCCACAGTTTTTGCATTTTTGTTCTTTTTGTTGGTGATTTTGCTGTTTAAGAATGGTCCTCAAGCCTGAAATGTTGTCTAGTATACCTGCGTGCAAGAAAGGTGTGATGTGTCTTATGAAGAAAACAATGTGTGTTGGGAACCACTCTGCCTGATTTCAGAAGCTGTAATCCCCCATGACTAAGGCTGAGTGAGTGACCTTCAGACCATAAACCACTAAGGTGACAAAGCTTATCTCCCCGGCAAGGGTGCTGCCTCTGTCTCTTTTACTTCACCCTGCCTGGCCCCAGTGCATGATGGGTTACCCAATGATGGGTAAGATTCCTTGAGGGAGGGATGATCTAAGACACACATGATCACGGGGGCCCCCAGGGAAGGACTAGGGGCTATAGCAAAAGGGGGTGATGGATACTCACCTCTCAGCTTTGACATAGCCCGAGTCCTCATTCTGTATGCGAGAAATCTCCTAATCTCTTGGCTGCCTTACTTCCCCTGACTGATTTAAGCCTGAAACAATGACAGAGGGCAGTGCAGCCCTGTGCTGGAAGGGGAGGGTTCCCTGGGTGATCAGGCCTAAGAAAGAATGCATAAAATCCTGTGAAACCTGCTTTGCTAAGAATGCTCTCAATTAAGGGATAAGGAAATGAGTTTGTTTCTCAAAGAGTTGTAGCCCCTTAGCTAACAGACCCTGACTCAGAATAAGCCCTGTAGTTCTTTGTATGCTATCTATTGTTTGATCCTTACTGCCTGACAATGATTAATGAGCTTTACCTGTATTCCTGTGCAAAGTGAACCCAATAAAAGACCACTGAGGGAAAGGCTCTTGGCCCTTCCCCTTTGAGAGATCCGCCATCTTTCCTCCCTAAGAAGATCATGTCTTGGTAGACTTATTCTCATCTGTGGTGGCAGTGTGGGGGGCCCTGTGAGTAGAGCCCCCCTCCCCGCAAATGTGTGTTAGATAAGCTTAGTTCAGACATGAATTACAGTGCTATTGGCCTTGAGTACAGTGTTAATGAATCAGCTATATATTTGTGAGTGTACATATGTATATATATATATTTTTTTTATACACACACATATATATTTTTATACCATCAACAAGAGAAAGGGCAACCTACTGAATGGGAGAAGATATCTGCAAATAATATATACATTAGGGGGTAATATCCAAAATATAGGGTGGGACAAAAGTAGGCTTATATTTATTTGTATAGAAAATCACACAATAATTAATAAATAATAACATAAGAATAAACTGTTTTTCATGTATTCCCAACCACAAACCTATTTTTGCCTCATCTTGCATATGAAGAACTCATATAACTCAACATAAAAAAAACCTAATTAAAAAAAAATGTTCAGAGGACCTGCATAGACATTTATCCAAAGACCACATACAGATGGTCAACACACATGAAAAGATGCTCAACATCATTAATCATCAGGGAAATACAAATCAAAACCACATTGAGATATTGGCTCCCATCTGTCAGAAGGGCTGTCATCAAAAAGATAACAAAGGACCAGTGCTGGCAGGGATGTGGAGGAAAGGGAAACCTCATGTTCTGTCAGCGGGATTGTAATTGGGTGTAGCCACTATGGAAAACAGTGTAGAGGTTCCTTTAAAAATTAAAAATGGATGCCCTGCCCAGTGTGGCTCAGTTGGTTGGGCGTCATCCCCCAAAGTGAAAGGTCATCAGTTTGATTTCCAGCACATGCTGGGGCACAAGTCTGCATTATGGGTTTGGTCTCCATTTGGGGCACGTGCAAGAGGCAACTAATCAATCTTTTTCTCCCTCTCTTTCTCCCTCCCTCTAAAAATAACTAAATATCAAGATCTTTTTTAAAAAATAGATGAATGGATAAAGAAGATGTGGTACATATATACAATGAAATATTACTCAGCCGTAAAAAAGAATAAAATCTTGCTATTTATGACATTGTGGATAGACCTAGAGGCTATGGTGCTAAGTGAAATGTTTGACAGAAAGATAAATACCATATAATTTCACTTACATGTGGAATCTAGAAAAAGAAAGGAATAAGCAAAATAAAACAGAAACCAACTCATACATACAGTGGACAAACTGACGGTTATTAAAGGGGAAGTGGGTGGGGGGTTGGGTGATAAAAGGGAAGGGGATTAGAAAGTACAGATTTCCAGTTATAAAAATAAGTCACGGGGATGTGAAGAAACAGCATAAGAATAGAGTCAATAATATTATAATAACTATGAATGGTGACAGGTGGTTACTAGATTTGTGGTGTTGGTCACTTTGTAAAGTATACAAATGTCTTATCACTATGCTGTACATCTGAAACTAATAAAATATTATGTGTCAACTATATTAAAAATAAAACAGGTATTTGGGACAGGATGCATGAGGCTCAGGGCATGGGTGAATAAGTAAAAACCATATATAAAATAAGTGTCTTTAAACAGAAACACATAAAACAAAGGAGATTATGTACTGCTGGGTTGACAAAAACTATGTGATCGGAGGCTTCTAGGAACCTAAGCCTGTTTTTCCCGTAGGAACAATGGTTCAGTATTTACTAATTTGGTACTTACAGAGATATTTAAAAGATATCTACCGCAAAAAAAGAGAACTGACTATATATGTTCATATAAAACTTCTGAGGTCCCTTCCTGCCCTAAAACTCTTGTGACAAGAGCTTCTCATGGACCTCCATGGCATAAAGCATCCTCAGGCAGGTAAGTGGTTTCTGCTAAGTGAACGTTTGGCCTTAAATCCTAGCAGCCTATGAACAATTAGTAGGGGTGTCAAACTTGTTTTCATCGGGGAGCCACATCAGCCTCACGGTTGCCTTCAAAGGGCCAAATATTATTTTAGGACTGTATAAATGTAACTACTCCTTAACAGTTAAGCAAGAGCTCGGCGTTGCTGCCAGGTAGAAACAAGGCGCTGGGTCAGATAAAACAAGGTGGAGGACTGGATTTGGCCCTCGGGCCTGTGTCTGCCCACTGTGAATTGCAGATTTCCCAGAGGGAGTGACCTAGTTGTTGGATACTGAACATGCTGCTGCTGCGGGGACTGAGTTGCCTGTCTCTGAGGCTGACTAGCCTGAGGAATCCTGTAGGAGGTAGCTTTCTACTGGGAGGAAAATTGAACCAAATGGACCTACAGTTAACAGCTGATTTTCATTATATCAAAAGACCTTATAGAAATTGTACATTTATAGCCACCATGCCACACTCAATAAAAATCACCATAGGCCCTGGCTGGTGGGGCTCAGCGGACTGAGTGCTGGCCTGTGAACCAAAGGGTCGCCAGTTCAATTCCCAGTCAGGGCACATGCCTGGGTTGCCAGCCAGGTCCCCAGTAGGGAGTGTGCAAGTGGCAACCGCACACTGATGCTTCTCTCCCTCTCTCCCTCCCTTCCCCTCTCTAAAAATAAATAAATAAAATCTTTTTAAAAATCTGTCTCTAAAAAAAATCACCATAGTTTCAAAATATTCATATCCTAGACTTCACTCTACTGAATTAGAGCCTGTGGGAGTAGAGGCCACACATCAATATTTAGAAATTATTATTCTAAGGAGCCTCTACTGGGCCAGGACCAGGTAACTTGGTATAATCTCTAATTCATCAGGGAAGAGGCTAAGAATCTATCCTCTTCCTGCCTATCCTTAGGGCCTAGCCCAAGACAGGGCCCTGAAGAGGCTTTCACTAAGCATGGAGTTGTTTCTTAAAATCTGAATTGCTGATAAACACAGCAATGTGACCAGTAGATAAGACACTGGGTTAACAATTTAACAGAACAAGAAATCACAGGCTTATTATGTAATACATGCTGGCAGTCCACCAAATATGGTTTCAAAATAGGAGTTCATAGAGATGGAGAAAGAATAATACAATAAAAGTTGCTGTTAATGCTGAAAAGATTGGGAAGAAATACTTCTCTTTTCCATGAGGAAAACTAGAGAATCCCGAAATTCTCCTGCCATGGAAACACCTGGAAATGATGGATAAAATACAACAAAGATTCTTATAAGTGCATGAAGTATGGAGGAAGGAAGTTTTTTCTTTTAATTTTGTACCTATGTGTACTGTTTGAATGTTTTGACCTTGGGTATGTATTCCTTTTATTTTTACTATATCATATCTTTATTTTAATTTTTGTCATTGTGTTTTGTTTTCATTTTAGTTTTTTTGAGTAGATAATATTCAACACATGAATCAAGATTCAAAAAGTGCAAAAGGTCCATTGTAAAAATTCTCCCTGCCACACTTACTCCCAGCTTCCCAGTTTTCTCCCCTATTTTTCCGGAAATATTTTATGCAAATCTAACCAAATATATACATGCATACTTAAAGAGTGCTATCTTCCTTTATAACACCTAATTAGATTTCTTTATACACTATTCTGCATCTTGATTTTTTTTTTATATAACAATAGACTGTGAAGATCACATCAGGGCATAAAGACCCTTCTATGTTTTCTTCACAGCTGCATAGTATTCAATTTATGATGTACCATGATTTGACTGATCCTGTATTGATGGGTATTAAGACTATTTCCAGTCTTTTGCTATTATAAGCAATGCTGCAATGAATAATCTCATACAGTGGCATTTCACACCTTTGTGGGTATATCTGTAGGTTAAATTTCTAAAATTGGAATTTGTGGGTCAAAGAGGAGATGATTTCATGTTCTGACATATATGGCTAGTTGCTCTCCATTAAAGATATTCCCATCAGCAGTGTGAGAGTACTTCGTATGTATTGCTTTTTAAAACAATAGTTTTAAACATGTACATTATAGTTCAGAGGGATTATTGAAGGATCATGTCTGTTTAAAACCATCAGGGTTAAGCCCTGGCTGGTGTGGTTCAGTGAATTGAGTGCTGGCCTATCAACTGAAAGGTCATCGGTTCAAATCCCTGCCAGGGCACATGCCTGGGTTGTGGACCAGGTCCCCAAGTGAGCATGTACATGTTTCTCTCTTTATTTCTCCCTCCCTTCCTTTCTCTCTGAAAATAAATAAATAAAATCTAGCCCTGGCCACGTAGCTCAGTTGATTAAGAGCATCGTCCCGATTACATCACGGTTGCAGGTTCGATCCCTGGTCAGGGCACATATAAGAGACAACCAATGAATGCATAAATAAGTGGAACAACAAGTTGATGTTTCGCTCGCTCTAAAATCAATAAAAAAAAATAAATAAAATCTTTTAAAAAACATAAATAAAAACAGCAGGGTTAAAAGGAGAAAAAATATTACTTATGACCATATTGTTGCTACCACTGTTGTTCTGCCTCCTTTGTTCCTTTGCTAAGTTTCCTTTGGAGTCCAAGGAACAATGATAATGGGGTGAGGGCAACCAGGCACCAGATTTCCTTTTAGGAAAAGGACTTCCTGGGTTTGATGTATTAGTTTGCTAGAACTCTCATAACGAAGTACCACAGACGGGATGGCATAAACAACAGAAATTTCTTTTTCACAGTTCTGAAGGCTAGATCAAGGTATTGGCAGGGTTAGTTTTGTCTGAGGCCTCTCTCCTTGGTGTGTAGGTGGCTATTTTCGCCTTCCATCTTCACATGGTCTATCCTCTATACTCATCTCTGTCCACATTTTGTCTTGCCAGGACATCAGGCATACAGATTAGAGTTCACTCTAATGACCTCATCGTAACTTAATTACCCTTTAAAGACCCTGTCTCCAAATGCAGTCACCTCATGAGGTCCTGGGGGGTAGAATTTCAACACATGAAATGAGGGGAGACACAATTTAGTACAAAATAGTTAGCAGTAGTGTCTTTAAGCATGAGCAGCAAAGTCCCACAGATGCTCCTCGACACTCTGTAAAATTCTTTCTCATGTTGTCTTGTGCTTGTGATTGTTTAAGGAGTGAAGGAATTGGAGTTGTGCCCAGTAATATATAGAAAAGGAACATGGAGGGATGGACAGATTCCCCCATAACCTGAATTAATCCCTTGGAAGGACTGAGTTCAAAAATGACCAGGACTGATGCAAAACCAATTAATCGTAATGGTCGCAGAGAGGAAGTTAAAGCCATCTTTGTTTAACCCTTAATGGACATAGTGATGACCCCAGCAAGCACCAGTGACTTAAAAGAGAGTTTTATTTTAGTTTAGCCACTGGTTGGAGGCCATGAGTGTTCATGGCCTTGCGGTCTTCAACAAGCAGAAGGTGTGGGAGGGCAGAGTGTTCAGAACACTCTTTATTGATTTGCCCAGAGTGGACTAAAGAAGGCCACTGATGACCTCTTCAAGAGCAGTTTGGGTGGACAGTGGGGGGTAGGAGCTAGTGTCAACATAAGAAATGTCCAAACCTGTAGAGAATGTTTGTGAGTTTATCTGAGCCAAACTGACGACAGTTGCTGGGAAGCAAAATCTCAGTGGAGAAAGTGCTCTGGAGAAGGGCAGTTTGACCACTTATGCTGTACACCAGAATCAAAGGAGAAGACATAAGGGTTACATGAAATCCAGTGGTGGTAGATTTGGGAGGGGGAAAAAGCAGAGTCAAGAAATCTCTGATATTGGGTAAAATGGAAAAACTTTTACACTGGCAGTGTGTATGAGAGATGGGGCGCCACACTAAAACTGACGAACTCAGGGAAACCTCCAAGGCAGGCCTTACAAATTCAAGAGACAGAAAGTGACCACGTTGGATGGTTTGAACGTAAAGATTCCTAACTAAAAGCAAGTCCTGGCGGGTTGTCATATCCTAGGTCAGTATCTTCCTTGACAAAGGTCCATCTTTATCTTCATGGAGCCAGCCTATCTGCTGTCTTATTTTTGAATCTATAATAACCTACATTTGGAATGTCAGAGTAAGCCTCCTTTCTCCAGACAACTTCAGGGCACAAATTTCTGCCGGAGCAGGAGGCCACAAACCCCTCATTGTTATCTTACTGCCCGAATACCTTCTCTGGGTGTGGTAAATGTTGTCAGCTGTGCTACACCCACCGATGTCAAAGAGTCCGGGTCTCTCCATTTTACTTTTTATCCAATCTCAAAGGTGTCCTCACTGTACTTTCTCCCACCCCCCCTAATCTACCACTGATAGATTTCGTGTCTTCTCCTTTGATTCTGACGGACAACATAAGCGGTAAAACCCTCTGGAGCACTTTCTCAATGTGTTGCAATTTTTGCTTCCCAGCAACTGTTGTCTGTTTGGCTCAAATAAACTCATAAACATTCTGTATAGGTTTGGACATTTATAACCTTCCAGTGGGTGCAGGATAGTTAACAATTAATGTTTATAGCACATAGAGATGGTATTTTGGGTAAGAAAAAGACAATGAGGGGTTCAGGCTCTGGCCTCATGCACAGGTGAGAGTTTGGGTGGGGGGAGGGTGTCTGGAAAAAAGGGGATTACTCTAACATTCCAAAGGTAGGTTATCATAGATTTAAAAAGAAGGCAGTAGAAAGGCTGGCTCTGTTAAGGTAAAGATGGACCTTTGTCAAGGAAGATACTGGCCTAGGACATGACTATGCGCTAGGACCCACATTTATTTATTTATTTATACTTTAAAATAGTTTATTTATTTTAGAGAGATGGGAGCGAGGGAGAGCAACATCGATGTGTGAGAGATACATTGATCAGTTGCCTCTCCCATGCCCCCAACAGGGAACCTGAGCTGCTTGCAACCCAGGCACGTGGTCTGACTGGAATCTAACCTTTAGGTTGGCAGGCTGGCGCTCAACCCACTCAGCCACACCAGCCAGAGCAGGACACACTTTTACTTAGAAATCTTTATGTTCAGACCATCCCATGTGGTTACTTTCTGTCTCTAGAGTTCCTAAGGTCTGTCATGTAGGCCGTCCCTGACCTTGTCAGTTTCAGTGTGTCGCCCCGTTTTTATCCACACAAGGGATTCACATTCACAAATATTTTTACGATCCAGTTATTGAGTATAAAATTGAGATGAGTTGAGATGTATATGGGAGGTGAGGAAGTGAAGTCCACGAATGTAGACAATGCCACAATGAAATGAAATATTTTAAAAATGAGATAACATTGACCATATCTGTCTACAAAGAGCTACGTAACAGCGCTCTCCTTCCTGGGAGCACGTCCACACGTTTCTTCCCTCTCAGGCATGTGTCTCCTAAACAGTAGGGGCCCCCATGGAGACTTGCAACCAGGGCAGCAAGGGCACTGGCAGCTCTTCTGGGGAATGTCTCCAACGCCCCCTTTTCTCCGACTTTCCAGTCTCAGCTGCTCCACCAAGGCTCATTTCTTGTAACATTTGTAGGGAGCCAAAGCAGCGCCATCTAGGCTTTATCTTGTTGCTCTTTCTATTCTAACCCTATCCTTGCTTCACTCTCCTGAACTTGAAAACACTCCCCGTGCCCAAAGCATCGCCGTGCCAGCGCCTCTGCGCAGGCTCAGCCAGCGGGTTCCCGGCCCCACCCCCGGCCGTCAGCGGGCGGTGCCGAGTGACGTGGGTTGTCCTGTGAACCACCTTCTGCTGTGGTCCGGGCGCAGGGGTGTCTACTGGACCGGCCGGAGCCCAGTCTGCACACTCAGAGCCATGCCTCTCACCTCCCTGCAGTCTCTGCCCCCACGCCGCCGCCGGGTGTTCGTGGTGGGGGTTGGGATGACCAAGGTAAACACCGCAGTAGTCGCCCCTAAGCGGGCTTCCGCCCCGCGCCGTCAGGGTGAGACCGGGGGTCTAAATGTTATCACCAAACGGAGGGGGGGGGGGCGGCTCATGGAGGGGGGGCGGCCCGATGCATAGTGGGGGTCTGACACTGTCCGTGGGTCCTTCCTCCCAACCTTGAGGGCACTGGGGACATCCCATGGTCTCCAGACTTTGGCCCTGGGGGCATCGGAGAGGCAAATGGGGTGGGTTGTGATGTAGGGTATCTTAAGGCTTGTGTCTGGGGTGGGGTGTTTCCTGTGGCCATTTCCTCTTCTTCCTTTTCCTCTCGGGGTCAGAGTTTGTGAAGGACACCCCAGAATAACCTGAAATTCACATCTCCTTTGATTCGAATGGACCTTCAAAGGAGGCAAGGGCCACTTCACTCCCAGAAGGGAAGCAGGTTGTGAGTGCCACCAGCTCTGCACTCCTGGGAATATAGTAGTTCCCTCTTATCTGCGGTTTCGCGTATCTGCAGTCAACCACTTGAAAATATTAAATGGAAAATTACAATTAAATTATTAAATAGTAAATGGAAAATAAACAATTCATAAGTTTTAAATTGCACGCCGTTCTGAGTAGCGTGATGAAGTCTCTCACCATCCCACTCCATCCACCCTAGGACGTGAGTCACCCCCTTGTCCAGGTATCTGTGCTGTATGTGCCCTGTATGCATTACCCAACGTTACTCACTTAGTAGCCATCTGGGTTATCAGAGAGAGGTCACAATTGTGTAACTTTTATTACAGTATATTGTTATACTTTTTCTATTTTATTATTGTTCCTAATTTATAAATTAAACTTCATCATGGTATGTATGTGTAGAAAAAAAACAATATATAGGGTTAGGTACTCTCTGTGGTTTCAAAGATCCACAGGGGGTCTTCGAATGGATCCAACAAAGTATGATGGATGAGGGGGGGGAACATTAGTGATGCTTATTGTCTTGCACAAGATTTTTCTGGATCTTCCAACCTCATTTCTGTTCCTTAAGTGCTACTCTGCTTGGTACTAGGAGGTGGGAGACTCCTATGGTCTTATTTCTTGACACACTCAAACCCCATGTTCTAGTAATGCCCAACTGCTTTTAGTTTCACTGTATACTCTGTTCTATGCCTCTGTTACTTTGCTTCTGTTGTTCTCACTACTTAAACTGTTTGACTTCATTGCATTTTTCAGATTTGTTTAGACCTTCTCCAAGCAGCCTCTGGTCCTCCTGACTTTAACACAGAGCCCCTGCACTTACCTCTGTCTCACTATGTTATGCTCAAATTCTGTTTGCGTACATTCTTCCTTAGCATGTAAGCTCCTCCAAGGGGAGTACCATGTTTAATTCATGGTATACCCCTAGCTCACTGAAAGTACCTGGTGCCTGAGGAGGTTCAATGAATGGTAGTTGAACAATACTAAATGGGTATGCATTGTGAAAGAGAGCTTGTAGGGGGAGTTCTTTTTCTGAGAAAACATCCTTAAAACTTTTATCATCTTACCAATAGGCTACAATCACAATTCAGTAAGAACATGTACATATATATCAACTAATGCATTATAAAACATTTGGAGATTATTGTTTCATGGGAGAAGGGACTTCTAATGAAGGTAGCAGTAAAACCTACATTTTGGTATCAGTGCAGTTAGATCCTTTATTGGCTGTTGAATGTTTGATTATATTGGTTATATAGAAAAGCACACAGAAAGAGCTTCCCAGCCTTTTGGGAAGTAGGCAGATCTTTTCCTCCAGTTGGGAGGTGGAGGTATGGGAGGTGTTAGTTACACTCCTGAGGGGAGAAATTGGGAATATGGAGAGCAGCTTCATCAATATTCTTACTAGGCCAATGAACTTCCCTCTGGGCTTGATTATTATTTTTTTTTAACTTTGCCTAGGGTTTGATGAAGAGGGAGTAATTTGTCAGATAAGAGTTTAAGCTCCACTGGTAGGTTTTGACTGGGTGGGTTCCTTATTGGATATCATTAGATGATTTCTTAAACTAGTAAAGAAGTAATGTCATAAGGATATTTAGAAACATGGCATTTTATAAAAGAACAAACAGCTAAAAGAATTGAAAGTAGATATTTTGGGAGCAAGTAAAACCAGTGGGTGGGGAGTAATGAAACAAGATTGTTCTTTTTTATTATAAGCCTTATGATACTTTTGGCATTTCTTTGCTTAAGAAAATAAAAACAAAAGAAAATAGAACATTACCAGCACCTCAGAAATTGCCCTTCTGCCCTCATCCAGTCACTGACTCCTTGCCAGAAAAGGCTTACCCATTATCCTAACTTCTAACCTTTAATTCCCTAGATTAGTTCTGGCTCTTTTGTTCAACATTATGTTTGTGAGATTCTTCCGTAATTTTACGTGTAGTTATAGATTGTTCATTCTCATGGATATAATGTCCGTGTTGTCAACATAACACAATTTATCCAATCTTCTGTTAATTAACATTTGGTAGTTTCCACCTAAACATGCTTTTTTTAATTTCAAAGGAATAATGTATGTCTTTATTTGCCTGACTAATTTTTTTAGTCAATGAACATATTAGTTTTATGTTGCTCTATAATAAATTACTGCAAATTGGTAGCTTAAAACAACATCCGTTTATATCTCACAGTTTTATAGATTAGCAATATGGGATGATGTGGCGGGGGTCTCTGCTCAGGGTTTCTCTAGCCTGCAAGCAGGGTTCAGCTAGGTTGCATTCTCCAATGGAGCACTTGGCCTTCTCTTCCAAGCCCATTCCTTTTATTGGCAAAATTTATTTCCTTGCAAATGATCCATCCTTTTTTTTTTAAGTTTTTATTTATTGATTTTTAGAGAGAGGGGAATGGGGAGAGAGAGAGAAACATCAGTGTGTGGTTGTCTTTCACATGCCCCCCTTACTGGGGACCTGGCCCACAACCCAGGCATGTGCCCTGACTGGAAATCACACTGGTGAGCCTTTGATTCACAGGCCGGGACTCGATCCATTGAGCCACACCAGCCAGGGCTGATTCCTCCTTTTTAAAAAAAAACTGGAGGATAAAGTTTCCATTTTCTTGCTGGCTGTTGGTCTGGGGTCACTCTTAGCTCCTAGAAGCTGGTGGCATGTCCTTGCCCCATGGTCCCTCCAGTTCAGCAGTGGAGAACTTTCTTTTGTGTCAGATTTCTCTCCAAATTTTGAATCTTTCTGACTTCTGCTGCCTAATTTTTTAAAAAATTGCCCTGATTTCATTAAGAAATGGGCATGTGACATTATTTCACTATATGGCTGATAATTTTTTTTAAACTTTTTTTTTTTAAGATTTTATCTATTTATTTCTAGGGAGGGAAGGGAGGGAGATAGAGAGAGAGAGAGAGAAACATCAATGTGTGGTTGCTGGGGGTTATGGCCTGCAACCCAGGAATGTACCCTGGCTGGGAATCGAACCTGGGACACTTTGGTTCCCAGCCTGCGCTCAATCCACTGAGCTATGCCAGCCAGGGCTTTATGGCTGATAATTTAATATTTAATGGATATACTTGTTAGAGCTTAGCACAGTACTCCTTTTTTTTTTTTTAAGATTTTATTTTATTTATTTTTAGAGAGGGGGAAGGAAGGGAGGAAGACAAGGAGAGAAACAACAATGTGTGGTTGCCTCTCACGTGCCCCCTACCAGGGACCTGACCTACAACACAGGCATGTGCCCTGACTGGGAATCAAACTGGTAACCCTTTGGTTCTCAGGCTGGTGCTCAATCCACTGAGCTATACCAGCCAGGGCAGCACAGTACTCTTCATCATAAGTTCTTGCTGTAAATGCTCTGATTGTCACTTAGTGAACTGAGGAATAAATAAAAGGAAAATAGCCAACTGTTAGATGGTGAATTAGAGAATTATGAAGAATTGTAATGGGTCAGAGACAGGAATAAATGTTAAATATTTTGGTTTGGTTCAGTTTAATAGATGCATTTTGGCACCACAATGAAGTATGGCATTTAAGTTAAGTATACAATTTTTCAAATTGGAGGTCATGAAATCAATTTAGAAGGTTGCCTCTAGCATTAAAAAAATTAGAAAATATTGTACCAATATAACAAGGATAAGTATTTCATGAAATTTTTGCATTAATTATATGTGAATATACAGTTAGTCCTCCACATCTGTGGGTTCTGCAGATCAAAAATATTCCCCCTAAAATGTTATCTTGTAGTTGACGTGTACTCTGTCGTTAGGCCTATGATGGTTATGATGGGTGTGTCTGTACTGAACATGTACAGATTTTTGGAGTCATTATTCCCTAAACAATACAATATAACAATTATTTACGTAGCATTTATGTTATATTAAGTATTATAAGTAATCTACAGATGATTTAAAGTATGCAGGAGGATGTGCGTAGGTTATATGCAAACACAGCACTGTTTTATGTAAGGGACTTGAGAATTTGTGGATTTTGGTATCTGTGTGGGGGCAGGGGTGCTAGAAACAATTGTGGGTACCAAGGGAGGCCTGTATGTGGATGCCTAGTCGTGTTGTAATATGTATCTTCTTGTGGTTTGCAGTCAGAAGTTTTTGAAAGTCATTTCTCTTTATCACAAGCACTGACCAGCAAAGCACTCCACTTTATCTAATCAGTCACCAAGTTTGGTAGACTTGACTTTATGCTTCTTAAGGCTCTGTCCTTTTCCTGCACTGTGCTGCCGTGGTAGTCAGCTCTCACCTGGACTGTTCAGAGTCACGCCATTTGGTCCCATTGTCTCCAGCCTTGCTCCCTTTATTCGTTTCTCCACATTGCATCCAGAGGGATCTGAAATACAAGTCTTCTCATTCCAGTCTCCCGCTCTCTGTTTTCAAGTAGGGCTTTATTTTTATTTCTTTTTTTGGTTAGTTTGTACTTCATAAACTTTATTCTGCAATCCAGCTAGACTTGGAAGGGGTAAGAAGAATATGGAACCCACTGAACTGTGGTGAAAGCACGAAGATTATAGAACATCACAAGCAGATAAGGGTGAAGGGTGCACTCCTGAGCTGTGGAAGGAATGGTCTGGTGGTTCAGATAAAACACAAGTCAAATGTATTAGAGTTGTCCACAGTCAGTCATGGAGATTGGTGGTCTTGGCTTCCTGGACCCACAGCGCTCCATAGCCATCATGACAGATGTGCTGTTTTTCACCTGGCCAAATGACCACCTGCTTGCTATCCAGCCACTTGGTCTTGGCAGTGCAGATTCAAAGCTGGGAACCGTTTGTGTTGGGTCCAGGATTTGCCATGGAGAAGATGCCAGGACCTGTGTGCTTCAGGGTGAAATTCTCATCATCACATTTCTCCCCGTAGGTGGACTTGTCACCTGTGCCATTGTGGGGTGTGAAGTCACCACCTTGGCACATAAATCCTAGAAAAATTCTGTGAAAGCAGGAACCTTTGTAACCAAATCCTTTCTCCCCAGTGCTCAGAGTATGAAAGTTGACCATGGGGGAGGATCTGAGGCAGTGGTGGCATCTCCATGGCCTGTTTTTCAAAGAAGTCTTATGTTCACAGCAAAATTGAGTGAAAAATAGTTCCATATGCTCCCTGTCCCCACACATGCTCAGCCTCATCCACCATCAGTAATCTGCACCAGAACCACTCTGTACCTTTGTTACAGTTGGACTGCGTGGGCACATCATTATCACTCCAACTCCCTAGTTTACATCAGGGTTCACCCTTGGTGGTGGTGTTTGGACAAATAAATGAAAACATGTGTCTGGTATCAGAATCCAGGAATGTGCTAGGTGTTCAACATGTTTTTATTTGAATGAATGAGTTTCTGTGATGCTCTGTAGTGAGGGAAGGTAACTAAACTTGTTTCTATTTATTGTCTTCTATATTTCTAGTTCATGAAGCCTGAAGTTAAGGATTCAAAAGACTACCCTGACTTGGCAAAAGAAGCAGGTAATATAGAATATTTAGATCTTTGAACATTGTAGTTTATTGTGGGATCTGTGTTGATTGTGGAGCAGTCTTGTTCCACATAACAATTGACTGCCCCCCACCCCCCCCAAAAAAAAGGAGAAGAACCTTAACAGGCGATTGCCCAGTGGCTCACTGATGTGTGGGTCACCGGCCAGCAGTGATCACGGAACGCTGTGGATGGCTCGTCAAAACACGCGAGAAAAAACATGCACAGAAACAGACTAGTTTCTGTGGAGAAGTAGGGACGGAATGGCCACCCCCTCTAGTGGGGAGCGCGCTTATTTACCATCCAAACCTGCTTTTATTGGGCTCCTTTTGCATAATAATTCAGGTAAAGTACAGTACTCGTTACGAGGAAGTAAGGAACCATAGAAAACAAGGAAGTCTGAGGGTCTATTTTGAGTCAGGGTCAAAAAGCTGTAAGACTTTAAGGAACAAACTAACTTCCTCCTTGGACCCTTCTCATTCAACTGAGCATTCTAAACAAAGAAGGTTTCACAGGAATTTACATGTTTTTTCTTAGGCCTGATCACCCGGGGAATCCACCCTTTTCAGCACAGGGCTGCACCACCCTGTCATTGTTTCAGGCTTAGGTGGAGCAAAGGAACTAAGGCAACCAAGAGATAAGGAGATTTTCTCCCAGACGCTGAGGACTCAGGCTATGTCAAAGCCGAGGAGTGAGGGTTCATCACCCCCTTTTGCTGCAGCCCCCAAAGTCCTTTTAGGGGGCCTCCCACATGATCGTGCCTGTCTTAGGTCGTTCCCCCCTTGGGGAATCTTACCCGTCTTTGGCTAACTGACCAAGCTTCGGGGTTCAGTTATGAATGAAGCAGCAGAAGCAGTGCTCCTGCCAGGGAGATAAGCTTTTGTCTCCTTGCTGGCTTAGGTTCCAAGGGCGTTCCCTTAGCCTTAGCCTAGGTGGGGGTTACAGCTTCTGATACCAGGCAGGGTGGTTCTCAACAGCTCACTAGGAAGGAGATGGGGAAAAGAGCTTGGACCTTCTTAGCTACATAGCCAGAGCAGACAGTGGCCAGTGAATTTATGTGCTATCCAGTTGTTGTTGGGACAACAAAGGGCTCTGTGGGAGAGAAAGGTAGGTTCACTAAAAGGGATAATTTGATTCTAGGAGATATGACAAAATTCGTGTCTTCCATTCCTAGAAAAGGGATAATCACATTCAAAATGTATTAAATACCTATATGGTTGTTTTCCTCTCTTCACTTGACTGAGCCAATGTAGAGAATTCTTTTTCTGTTACTAGGCTCGTGTGTGACTAAATGAGGTGACGCAGTTTGTTGATGTGTACTCTCGTGAGTGTTGAGCAGAGAACTTGGGTGAACAATAGTGGGCTGGAACTCAAGAGAAGAGGGTTCGAGGTGTGTGGTCCCTGTTCCCTGGGCAGTCTTCAGAGCCACCTGCTTGGGCCAGGCTGCTGCTGGCTTAACTGTGGATCTGAATTCTGTTGTTCTCCCTTAAAAAAAGGAGGACAAGCACAGTAGTTTCTCTGCGTGGTGGAAATAAATGTTTTAGACTCAGGTGTCAGTTGTTTGGGAGTGCTAGAAAATACCAGCTTCCCAGCACGTGGGGACCTGGAGTGCTCCTTGGACCCATGAAGTTAGGTACAGTCCTCCTCCTGGGAAATCTCCCAGATCCATTCTATTCCTGCTGGCTTGTTGCCAGGCAACCCAAAAAGAGTTATTGGGGTTATTCATTAAATAATCCTCCATGGCTCCATCGGTACCTAGTACCTAGTGTCTGTATATTTGGATTTTGTTTCAACTCTATTATTTAACTCAGTATTCAGATATTAGTGTACAGGAAATCAGAGCATCTCTGTTCCCCAAAAAGAAGGTTCACGAGATTTAGTTAATTGATTTTGATCTTCTGGGTGGACATTTTTCATGTAATGTTTATCTTTTATGTTGTTGAACATTCTCTTGACTGATATCTCCAAATAGTTTTTGCCTTTCTCTGAGGTGGGAGATGCTTTACACAGTTCTTTCTATACATTTTTGTTCCATTTCTTTTATTTAGTTAATCATTTTGTGGTTACTTTAGTAATATGTGAATATAATATTTTGATTACAAATGGTAATGTTGAGCTGAAGTTATGCAGTTTGAAACTAACTGTGGGGATCAACTGTTAACAAGAAATTTGGCCTGATTGACTTTGTTTACTGCTTAAAATTCTCTTCTTTTATAAGTGTAATTAGGAAAATAAGCTTCACTTGATAAAGGAACTGTAATGTAGAATAAGCTTTTAGAACTTAGCTTTGCTTTTAAAAATACCCGTTGGTTCCAAGAATTTAGGGAAATGAGAAGCACAAGTGGATGATTCCACTCACCTGTCTGACATTGCCTTAGGTGCCGTACGTGCGCCTTCAGACTGCGCCAGTCATGTTTGGTTTAACGCGTGTTCAGGCACAGCCTGGGGGAAAACTCCTAAGATTCTGTAACTGGTTTTACAGTCTGCTCTCTCTGGACTTATGTGTAGACTGGTGATGTGGCAGGGGGTGGTTTCATGGAATAGTAGATCCAGACGTCTTACCCTCTAATTCTCCAAAATGGTTTTAGGCGGAGGGGTGGGGGTGTCAGCTACCATTTTCTTTCGTCATTTCCCAGATGCATAGAGTGGAGAAGAGCACAACCAGCAGAGGTGTGCTCTGTCAACTTCCATTATTTAGAGAATTCTGCTCTTCACACATTCCTCATCCCTCTTTCCCTCAGAGAAAGGTTAGGATTTTTTTGCACCTAAATACAAACAACACTCGTTTGAGTGGTATGGCAATGCCACGTAACTCAGATAGTTAACTTCTGTGCTTTCTTTGTCTTCTCATCCCTTTAAAACCTTTTTATTTAACAATTGTTTGAATCAGAAAGTATACACAGAAAACCTGATGTTAGGAGGAAATGTTCAACGAATACTAGTGAGTGCATCTTGGGGAGTGGGAAGGACTCACAGTAGGGTGGTATACCGATCCCAAGGCTCTTCCCATTTGATAGGGAGCAGAAGGCAAGTTTACACAGGTGGTGAGTACCCCTGCTAAGTACAACATGCCACTGGCATTTAGAGGAGGTACAGAGCACAGGCTGAACCTTCTACCTTATGTAACTCAGTCTTTCCCACTGATTATAAGAGCAATGCATGTGTTTTATTGGAACACAGAATTATATAATAATGAAAACGAAATTTTGTGACCCATGTCTATCACTATTAACATCTTAGTGTATTCTATTTTACAATAGTAGTTTTCCATATGGTTATATGGGATAATATGCTATGTAGATTTGCTTCCTGGATTTTTAAACTTATTTCATCATGAGCATTTATCCTGTTGCTAAAAATTGTTTGAAAAAACATTAGTTTTAAAAAATTTTAATGATATATTTATTTTACGATTTTTTTGGACATTTAGGTTTGCAACTTTTTGATATTTTAGAAGAATTTGAACATCTTGCTAAATAAATATTTCATTTCATCTCGTTACTTTTGAGGACAGAGCCTGGAAATAGATTCATTGGAACAGTGAATATATGACTTGCCAATTTTTTCAGACTTGCCAATTTTTTTCTTGTCTTGTCTTGTCTTGTCTTCAGTTGTTGTTCAAGTACAGTTTTCTGCCTTTTACCCCCATCCCAGCCCACCTCCCTCCCATTTCCACCCTCCCCTTGCTTGTTAGTGTCCATGTATCCTTTATACTTATTCCTGCAAACCCTTCCCCTTTTTCCCTGAAATTCCCTCCCCTCTCCCCAAGACTTGCTAAATTATTTTTCAGACTGGCTACATTATTAGTCTCATTAGCAGTATATAAGAATGCCCTTCTTAATCTAATCTTGCCAGCATTATTATAACTGATACATGAAATATTTTTGTTTATATGCTAAGTAGGAAAAGATGACTAGTTTGACTAAACTAATCCCATAATTAATTATATGTCTTCTTAGTTAAAAAATTTCAAAGTAGGCCCTGGCTGGGTGGCTCAGTTGGTTAGAGTGTCATCCTTATATGCCAAGGTTGTGAGTTTGATCCCTGGTCACGGTACATATTGTACAAGAATCAACCAATGAATGCATAAATAAGTGGAACACTAAAATCGATGTTTATCTCCCCCACTTCATGTGGTTAAAAATAAAACAAAAACAAAAACACCACAAAATAGCTTAGAATTCCCAGGGCTGTTGTTCAGAGGGCAATTTCTTTAACTGTTTTGGCTTTAGTTCTTCTGGTGGTTATTTTCATGTCCCTAAATGTTTATTCTACCGCACTTATTCCAGCTTTTGGTTCACCAATTTTAGATCTATGTTTGCTTCTCACTGTGAGAGATAAGGATTTGGCTCACACCTTCTCTTCAACCTGCACTTTCATCTTCCTAGTTTATTTTTATATTATTTTTCAGTTCCTCCATTGGTAATTTTTGTAATTTTAAATAGCATCTTTAGAGCTCCATTTATTGTTCCATGGAGAAGATCATCTCTTGATCCTGACTCTGTAAGATGACCACGCAAGTGCTTCCCCCGCTGTCCACCCCCAGTATGGCCCTTCTGTCCAGTTTTGCTCACCAGATGTGCAGTAGGACCACAGAGGTGATGAATGCAAGGACCTTGCGTTAAGGGTCTTTAAGACTCTTGGGATTTAATATATTTACAGTTAGGTATACAGTTAGGACAGAAAGTGTTAAGTATCAAAAAGGAGATATGAAGAAGTGAGGCAGTAGCTTACAGGAAGAAATGATTACTTCCGAAAGGAGAGATCTGTGATGTGTGGGTCACCACCGGCCAGCGGTGATCACGGAACACTGTGGATGGCTCGTCAACGTGAGAAAGACATACACAGAGACAACCAGGTCCTGTGGGGGAATAGGAACAGCAGGGCCACTCCTCACGTGGGGAGCGCCTTGGCCACCCTCTCTCCCGGAGGGTGCTGTTTGGCCACCTTCCCTGGTGGGGAGAGCGCGCCGTTCCCCCTCCGGAGAGGCTTTTTATTGGTTTCTTTTGCATAAGAATTCAGGTAAAAGCTCATTACTCATTGCTGGGAAGTAAAGATCAAACATCAAACAATCAATAACAAGGAAGTCTGAGGGCCTATTTTGAGTCAGGGTCAAAAAGCTGTAAGACTTTAAGGAACAAACTAACTTCCTCCTTGGACCCTTCTCATTCAACTGAGCATTCTAAACAAAGAAGGTTTCACAGGAATTTACATGGATCACCCGGGGAATCCACCCTTTTCAGCACAGGGCTGCACCACCCTGTCATTGTTTCAGGCTTAGGTGGAGCAAAGGAACTAAGGCAACCAAGAGATAAGGAGATTTTCTCCCAGACGCTGAGGACTCAGGCTATGTCAAAGCCAAGGAGCGAGGGTCCATCACCCCCTTTTGCTGCAGCCCCCCAAGTCCTTCTTTTAGGGGGCCTCCCACATGATCGTGCCTGTCTTAGGTCGTTCCCCCCTTGGGGAATCTTACCCGTCTTTGGCTAACTGACCAAGCTTTAGGGTTCAGTTATGAATGAAGCAGCAGAAGTGGTGCTCCTGCCAGGGAGATAAGCTTTTGTCTCCTTGCTGGCTTAGGTTCCAAGGGCGTTCCCTTAGCCTTAGCCTAGGTGGGGGTTACAGCTTCTGATACCAGGCAGGGTGGTTCACAACAGATCTGAGATGATCTGATGAAGGATTTGCCATTTGGATTGAACATAGGCTACACAGTTACTACTCTGGGAAAACTAAATTTACTTTTTACTCATCTAAAACAAATACTTAAAGCACTATTTGATAAAACCCCTTTGTTTTTATAGGTATGAAGGCTTTAGCTGATGCACAGATTCCTTATTCAGCAGTGAAACAGGCATGCGTTGGCTACGTTTATGGTATGTATTAAACTATATATTCTAAAAATTATTCACCTAAATCTAGCAGCAACAACATAAACAATTGGGGGTATTTGTGAATTTTAACTTTCAAAACTCAGAATTTGGAGTTTTACCCATCATTCCTAGATTTCTCTTATGTGTTGGCCTAGTTTAACATATATATTTTGCAGTTCTTATAGTCAAAACAAGAAATAAATTTAAAAATATTTTTTATCTTTAATAAAGAAAATATTACCCATAGTTGTACCATGTATAGACAATTACTGTTAAGAAGATAAAGTTTTGCTTCTTGTTTTCTTAAAATTTGCATTTATTGACATTTTCGTATTAATAAAGTTTTTTCATTAAATTTTTTTTGATTAAAAAATTATATGTACTGCCCTGGCTGATGTGGCTGAAAGGATTTAGTGCCAGCCTATGAACCAAAGGGTCATAGGTTCGATTCCCAGTCAGGGCACATGCCTGGATTGTGAGTTAGGTCCCTAGTCAGGGGTGTGTGGAAGGCAACCACACATTGATGCTTCTCTCCCTTTCTTTCTCTCTGTCTTCCCCTCTCTCTAAAAATAAATAGGTAAATACATAAATGTTTAAAAAAATGATATGTACTATTGGAGGGAGGGGAAAGGGCTGGGTAAAAAAATATGATATGTACTATTTGTATTATAAAAAGAAAAAGGGAACAAATGCACAAGAAAAAAATAAGTCAACTGTTGAAGTGATATTGGAAGCATGGCAGATCCCCTGGTCTCTTCCCTTGAAGTTTCAAGTTGAATGGCCGTAGTTCAGCACACAAACACATCTGAGAGATCCACACCTTGAAACTCAGAACATGGCCCACTTGCAGTGAGCAGGGGAGGAAGGATAGGGGAAGAGCCTAGATGGGCGCAAGAGACACAATCTGGAGTGCACTGTGAGTCTTGGGAGAGGAGAAGAATCAGGCTGCAGTGTGTACTCTGCAGCCCTGAAGAGCAGAGAGGTAGAATCAGCATTCCTGCCTGAGTGGTCAGCACATGCTGTGGCTGAACCTGGTGACTGGAGTGGAGATGGAACACAGAGGTGTGGCACCCGTAATCTAGCAGACACCATTGCCAGGCAGAAAAGAAAACCTCGGAGTCTGACTGCCTTTCCTCATCCTTCCAGAGTCTGGGGCCCAGTAGAAGCTGTGGCAGTGAGTAGCGGGCAGAGCACATTGTCTGCAACTCTGAGAACTGGAGAGGCAGATGAGCTCCTCACTGAGCAATGGGCTCATGCTGTGGCTGGTCCCTGTGAAGCGTGGGGGTCGTGGATGGACAGAGGTGTGGCAGCTCAGAGCTGGCAGTCGCCATTGCTGAGAAGAGAACATTCTGCCAGCCCAGCCCACCCCCTACCCATTACACCTGAACTTGGAGGTGGGGGCATCCTGGGACACTTGGGGCACTGTCTGGCAGCATCTGGTTACAGGGGGCAGCACTGGGATTTCAGGGGCTCAGAACCCCGTCATCCACCACATGCCCCCAACACAAGTAGTGTTCTGAGACTGAGGTGACCTGGTCGAAGAGGAGACCTGGTCACAGAGGAGATGCCTACCTCCCTAGGGAGTGCAGGGGTTTTTTTTCCACCAGACCTACAGATATTCTAGAAGCCAGAGCAGTGCAAGAGAAAATAAAAACTTGTGCTTCCACGCCACCTACTGGAAAACAAAGACTCTTAACTTAAATAGGAAATTGTTCCTCTTAAAAAAAAAAAGCAGATTTCATTGCCATAAATGCCTGGGCAGAGATATAATCCATCAAGTACCGTGAATAACCAAGGTAACAAGGCAGCTCAAAAAGAAAAGGAAAAATCTCCAGAAAATAAACTTATACACATGGAAATATGTAATTTAAATGACAGGGAATTCAAGATTGCAGTTCTGAAAAAACTCAACAAGATACAAGAAAACTCATATAGGCAGTTTAATGAACATGGCAATAAAATCAGTGAGTAAATGAAGTACTTTACCAAAGAGACTGACATTTTAAAAAGTAACCAATAGAAATTTTGGAGCTGAAGAGCTCAATAAAAGAGATGAAGAATGAACTAGGGAGCTTAGAAACAGAGCTGTGCAGATGGTGGAAAGAATTAGTAGTATTTAAGGTAGAGACTTGGGAGTAAAGTAAATGAAAGAACTCTGTGAGAACCACCTGACTTCATCAGAGAGAGCAATATGAGAACAATGGGTATACCAGAAGGAGAAGAGAGGGAGAAGGGCACAGAGAGCCTATTCAAACAGTTGATGAGAACTCAAACCTACGGCAAGAGCTAGATCCTTGAATCCCAAAAGCAAAGTGTACACCTAATTATCTCAATCCAAAAAGGCTTTCTCCAAGGCACATTGTATTAAAACTGTCAAAAATTAATGACAAAGAATTATCAAGACAGCCAGGGTAACCTTTAAAGGAAATCTCGTTAGATTATCATTAATTTTTTTAACAGAAATCCTACGTGCTAGGAGAGAGTGGAATCAAATGTTCAAATTACTGAAAGAGACAAATTACCAGCCAGGAATAATTTATCCAGCAATGTTATCCTTTACATATGAAGGAGAAATAAAGACTTTTCCAGATATAGAAGCTGAGGGAATTTACCTCAAGACCTGCATTGCAGGAAGTACTGAATGAAGTTATTCTACCTGAAACAGACAAAAAGATATATAACTACGAGCCCTGGCTGGTGTGGCTCAGTGGATTGAGTGCTGGCCTGTGAACCAAAGGTTGCTGGTTCAATTCCCAGTCAGGGTGAGTGCTTGGGTTGCAGGCCAGGTCCCCAGTTGGAGGCGTGCAAGAGGCAACTTAACTGATGTTTCTCTTGAATGTCAATGTTTCTGTCCCTTCTCCCTAAAAGTAAATAAATAAAATCTTTTTAAAAAATAAGATATGTAACTATGAGTAAGATGACTAAGTAAGATGAGTAAGGCAGACAGAAGCAGGAAATTGCAGCCCTTATTCAAAATAAGGTATTATACACTTAAATATCACATAAACCTTAAAGGAGATTAAAAACATTTAAAAAACAGAAGACGACCATAGATAAGATGTATTCAGAAGAAAAAGGACTCCTGTATATATGAAACTTTCTTCTGCATAAACCTAATAGTAACCACAGAAAAAGCTAAAACTGAGACCACATAAAAAAGGAAAACAGAAAAACTCATAGAATATCACCAAACTAAAATAACAACTGGAAACACAGGGAAAAGAAGGGAGACACAGAGCTATCAGAAAACAAAAGATAAAATGGCTGTAGATAAAATCCTCACATCAGTAATCACCCTAAATGTAAGTGGACTGAACTCACTCATAAACGGCACAGAATAGTGAATTGGATCAAAAAACAAACCTAACCAAATGCTACCATGACAAATGTAGACTCAGCATGGTAGGGTGAAAAATGTTACTCCAAACAAAAGGCATATCCAGAGAAAAGCAGGTGTAGCCGTTCCTACATCTGACAAAATAGAATTCAAGGTAAAAAGGTAACAAGAGGCAAAGATGGACATTTTATGATGATGAAGGGGGCAATACAGGAAAAAGACAAGAATGCCCACTCCTCCACTGTTACTCAACATAGTACTGGAAGTCCTAGCCAGAGTAATCAGGCAAGAGAAAGAAATAAAAGGCATTCAAATTGGGAATGAAGAAGTAAAGTTGTCACTTTTTGCAGATGACATTATTATATAGAAAACCCTAAAGACCACACTAAAAAACTATTAGAAACACCTGGCTGGTGTAGCTCAGTGGATTGAGCACTGGCCTATGAACCAAAGGGTCTCTGGTTTGATTCCCAGTCAGGGCACATGCCTGGGTTGCAGGCCAAGTCCCCCAGTGGGGGGCGCATGAGAGGCAACCACACATTGATGTTTCTTTCCTCTCTTTATCCTTCTCTTCCCTGTCTCTAAAAATGAGTAAATAAAATCTTTAAGAAGAAACAGTTTATAAAACATACTTCAAAAAAACTATTAGAAACAATTAACAAATACAGTATAGTTGCAAGATACAATATCAATGTATCAATTTGACTTTGGGTGGTGAACACAACACAGTACACAGATGATGTATTATAGAACTGTATGCCTGAAGCCTATATAATTTTATTTAACTGATGTCACCTCAATAAATTTAATAAAGTGAAAAGTCACCTGTCATCCCATTATCTAGAAATTATTACTAATAACTTTTGGTATATAATCCTTTAGTAAATATGAATGTGTGTGAATACACCCTCACATATAATTTTTTCTTGAAGAAAATAAGGTCCTAGTATACACACTTTTTGGTGACCTGCATTTTTCATTTTACTATAATCAGGATTTCCCTTGTCATTAAGTCTTCTTTTATACCATTATTAACATTTTGCAATAAAGTTTTTTTTCTGGAATAGGTTAAGTATTTACAAGGTTCCAAAATAGAAAAGGCAGATGATTATATAATGGAAAGTCTCACTCTCATTCCCTTAGACAACCAGTGTCACTAATATCTGGTGTGTCTTTCTAGAGGTAATTTATGTATATAAAACAAGTCTGCGTGAGTGTGTTCATGTCCCCATTTCTCCTTTCTTTTGTTACTCACATGGTAACATAATGCATATACCATTTGGTAGCTTGTTTTTTTTTTTTGTTTGGTAGTTCTTGATAACTATTCCAAATTATATCATAAAGAGCTTCCTTGGTCTTTATGGTAGCACAGTGTTTCATAGAATAGATATATCATAATCTATTTAATCTACGACCTTTTAATAGACATTTAGGATATTCCAGTCTGCGGTATTTTTAATGTTTGCATGATATTCTAGTCTTGGAGATTTACTATAGTTTACTTAGTAGTAGTAATCATATCCTGTTCTTGGACATTTAAAATTATTTCTAATTTCTAGTTATTATAAAAGGCAATACAATGGATGAATCTTTGTGCATATCTTTTATTTCCTTAGATTTTAAGATATCAAGATAATTGCTATTTAAAGATTTTATTTATTTATTTTATAGAGAGGGGAAGAGAGGGAGAAAGAAAGGGAGAGAAACATCAGTGTGTGGTTGCCTCTTGCATTCCCCCTATTTGTAACTTGGCCCACAACCCAGCCATGTGCCCTGACTGAGAATTGAACTGGTGACCCTTTGCTTCACAGGCCATCACTTAACCACTGAGTCACACCAGCCAGGGCTGATATTAAGAGAGTTCTTGAAAAGAAATTTACTAGTTCAGGTAGATGAAGTGTACTTACTAAAAAGGAGGCCCTTTACATTGCTGCTTTGCCCGAAGACTGCTGGAGAGTCTGGACCTTCAGATGTTCCCATCACACTGCTGCAGCTTGTCTGCTTCAGGAGCCGTGCCTCTTGGGAGAGGGAGTCCAGTGTATTCAACTTGGATCACTATTTTTCTGGACTTCTGTGGCACTCGGGAGCTTCTAAACTTTTTGAAGCTATGGAACCCTTATATGAAGAGAAAATCATGTCTTTTTCATCAATTGGTGTAATTTTAAAGATTTATATCTAGCAATATAAATGAAATATTGCTTCCTTAATCATGTAACCCTAGTCATATTGAATTGTTTGCTCTTACTTGGTCATTTCTTTACTTCCATACCTCCGTATTATAGAAAGAAAGTGCACATACATTCTGTGTTTTGAGAATTAAAAAAAATTTTTTTTTACTGATTTTAGAGAGGGGGGAGGGAGAAAGAAAGGGAGAGGGGGAAAGAGAAAGAAAAACAGAAACATCAATTTGTTGTTCTACTTATTTATGCATTCATTGGTTGCTTCTTGTATGTTCTCCTACTGGGGATTGAACCCACAACCTTGGTTATCAGCACAATGCTCTAACCAACTGAGCTACCCAGCCAGGGCCTGTGTTTTGAGAATTTTTTTATATTTGTAGAGTAAATGATGCTTAATGCTAAAACTGTTTCTGAGTAAGGTGTTCATAGTGTGTTTATTGTTCCGTTCATGTTGTATGCTGGGCAAAGGCATAGCACTGACAAACCATGATGTGGTGCCATGTCATGTTGCAGTCCCACGTTTCCCATGCTTTGTGTATTACAGTTTCCGTTTCTCTTTCTCTGCAGGTGACTCTACCTCTGGGCAGAGGGCTATCTATCACAGTTTGGGAATGACTGGAATTCCTATAATCAATGTTAACAATAACTGTTCCACTGGTTCTACTGCTTTGTTTATGGCCCAGCAGCTGGTTCAGGGCGGTGAGTGGTGCTCATTGGTTTCGTGTATTTGGTAAATAGGTGTGGGGTTTTCACACAATATCATCAGTGGGATGGCTTTATAATGTATTTCTTAAAAAAAGAACTTTATGGAAATGTGATTTATGTATCATAAAATTCACCCCTTTAAAGTACACAATTCAGTATTTTTAAATATATTCACAGATTTAGGTGCCCATCACCACTACCGAACTTTCGAACATTTTCATTACACCAGAAAGAAACCTTATACCCATTAGCAGTCATTCTCCATTGCCCCCTCCCCTCAGCTCCTTGCAACCACTAATCTACACTCTGTCTCAATGGATTTACCTATTCTGAACATTATATACATGGAATCATACGGTATATGGACTTTTGTGGCTTTCACTTAGCATTATGTTTTCACAGTTCATCTCTGCTGTGGCATGTTACCAGTACTTCATTCCTCCTGATGGCTGAATAAAATTCCATTTCATGGATGTGCCACATTTTGTTTACCCATTTATCAGTTGTGGGACATTGGGTTATTTTCATTTTTTGGCTATTGTGAATAATACTGCTATACACATTTGTATACATTTTTCTTGAGGCTTTCAGTTCTCTTGGTTTTATATCATATTTTATATTTCCAAATATTGCCATGGCTGGTATGGCTCAATGGGTTCAGTGCCAAATATTCTGGGGCTTTTTATTAGGCTCTTTATTCTGTTCTACTGATTGATTGTTGATTATTGCTCCACTACGCAAAAAAAAAAAAGTGTTTTAATTGTTGGAGCTTTATAATGTCATACTGTTTGATAATGCTAATGTCCTTGTCCCCCATACCTTGTTATTTTTATTTCTTTTTTAAAGAGATTTTGTCAATTCTGTCTTGTTTTGCTGTTCAGTTGAACTTTAACATCTTTCTTTAGATGTCCCCACCCTCCAAAAATTATTCTGTTGTGCTTTTGATCAAGACTCTTTTAAAAATAAATTTATTTAATGTTTTAAATTTTCAAAAATTATTTATATTCTTGATTGTAACATTTCCATATTAATCAAAAGTTTTATTAACATTGAAGATCAAAGAAAGAATTAGTTTCTTGATTTTTTTTCCTCTTATCTAGTTGCATATAAGAATTTTCTCTAATTTTTCACTGATTAAAAGTTTTATAGGATTATAGTATGGTTTTTCATTTTATATAGATCAATATATTTAAATGGAAGTATTTAATACATTTTTTGGGTATCTGGAAATTAAAATTTTCAAAATAACTACATTTTCTTTCAAGGTGTGGCCGATTGTGTCTTGGCTCTTGGGTTTGAGAAGATGGAGAAGGGATCCCTTAAGACATCAGTGAGTTCCATTTACTGTTATTTTGGAGTTGTTACGACACTATGAGAAAACTTTGCCCATTGGACTGTCATCAGTAGTGCCTGTTAATAAGCAGCATAAAACATACTTTGGCATAGTCATTAAATAAGTTGATATAACCCAAAAATCTAAAAGGTGACATTGTATATATGTACACATAGATTCTGGTATTTTAGAACAGTAAAGCGTGATAGAGATAACTTAGTTCAACCTCTTTACTTCATGAATGATGGAACTTATGTTTAGAGAGGTTAGATTATTGATTGACTTACCTAATTAATTTAAAAGTCATTCAAAAGTTAATTTTTTAAATATATTTTATTGATTATGCTAGTACAGTTGTCCCATTTCTCTCCCTTCACTCCCCTCCACCCTGTACACCCTCTCCCACCCATATCCCCCCTTTAGTCATGTCCATGTGTCATACTTATAAGTTCTTTAGCTTCTACATTTCCCATACTATTCTTACCCTCCTCCTATTTTCAACCTACAATCTATGCTACTTATTCTCTGTACCTTTTCCCCCTCTCTCCTCCTCCCATTCCCCTGTTGCTAACCCTCCATGTGATCTCCATTTCTGTGGTTCTGTTCCTGTTCTAGTTGTTTGCTTAGTTTCTTTTGGTTTTGCTTTAGGTGTGGTTGTTGATAATTGTGAGTTTGCTGTCCTTTTACTATACATGTTTTTTCTTTATCTTCTTTTCTTAGATAAGTCCCTTTAGCATTTTATAAAATAAGGGCTTGGTGATGATGAAATCCTTTAACTTGACCTTATCTGAGAAGCACTTTATCTTCCCTTCCATTCTAAATGAGAGCTTTGCTGGATAGAGCAATCTGGGATGTAGGTCCTTGCCTTTCATGACTTGGAATACTTCTTTCCAGCTCCTTCTTGCCTGTAAGGTCTCTTTTTGAGAAATCAGCTGACAGTCTGATGGAAACTCCTTTGTAGGTGACTGTCCCCTTATCTCTTGCTGCTTCTAGGATTCTCTCCTTCGTTTTTACCTTGGCTAATGTAATTATGATGTGCCTTGGTGTGTTTCTTCTTGGGTCCAACTTCTTTTTTTTTTTTAATTTATTGATTATGCTATTACATTTGTCCCTTTTCCCCCCTTCCCTCCCCTCCACCCTGTACCCCCTCTCCCACCCACGTTCCCCCCGCTTTAGTTCACTTCCATGTGCAATTCTTATGAGTTCTTTAGCTTCTACTTTTCCCGTACTATTCTTGCCCTCCCCCTATCTATTTTCAACCTACATTCTATGCTACTTATTCTCTATACCTTCCCCCCCTCCCCCTCCTCCCACCCCCCCCTGTTGCTAGCCCTCCATGTGCCCTCCATTTCTGTGGTTCTGTTCCTGTTCTAGTTGTTTACTTAGTTTCTTTTGGTTGCTTTAGGTGTGGTTGTTCATAATTGTGAGTTTGCTGTCCTTTTACTATACATGTCTTTTCTTTATCTTCTTTTCTTAGATAAGTCCCTTTAGCATTTCATGAAATAAGGGCTTGGTGATGATGAACTCCTTTAATTTGACCTTATCTGAAAAGCACTTTATCTGCCCTTCCATTCTAAATGACAGCTTTGCTGGATAGAGCAATCTGGGATGTAGGTCCTTGTCTTTCATGACTTGGAATATTTCTTTCCAGCCCCTTCTTGCCTGTAAGGTCTCTTTTGAGAAATCAGCTGACAGTCTGATGGAAACTCCTTTGTAGGTGACTGTCCCCTTATCTCTTGCTGCTTCTAGGATTCTCTCCTTCATTTTTACCTTGGCTAATGTAATTATGATTTGCCTTGGTGTGTTCCTCCTTGGGTCCAACTTCTTTGGGACTCTCTGATGAGCTTCCTAGACTTCCTGGAAGTCTATTTCCTTTGCCAGAATGGGGAAGTTCTCCTTTATTATTTGTTCAGATATGTTTTCAATCTGTTGCTTTTCCTCTTCCCCTTCTGGTACTCCTATAATTCAGATGTTGGAACGTTTAAAGATGTCCTGGAGGTTCCTAAGCTTCTCTTCATTTTTTTGAATTCTTATTTCTCCATTCTTTCCTGTTTGGTTTTTTTCTTCCTTCTGGTCCACTCTATTGTTTTGAGTCCCAGTTTCCTTCCCATCACTATTGGTTCCCTGTGCATCTTCCTTCATCTCTTTTATGGTAACCTGTATTTTTTCATCAAATTTGCGCCCAAAATCAACCAATTCTGTGAGTTTCCTGATCACCAGTGTTTTGAACTGTGCATCTGATAGATTGGCTATCTCTTGGTTGCTCAAAAGGATGAGTCCTGGGGCATTGATCTGTTCTTCTGTTTAAGCCATCTCTCTCTCTCTCTCTCTCTCTCTCTCTTTTTTTTGGGGGGGGTCTGGTCACTCCTGTTATGGTGAGGGGCAGAGCCTTAGGTGTTCACTGGGGCTGGGCACCCAGTCGCTAGATTGTGATGTTGTATGTGGGGGCGGGGGCGGGAGGGAACAATGGCGGTAGCTCTGTTCTCCATGGGACTTCAGTCTCCTCTCTGGGATCCTGGATTGCGCGCTCTGCCCTGGTCTACAATTGCCGCCTCACTGGGTCCACCAGCTGCCACTTGCGTACTCAGGGTCCACCTGCTGCGATCTTGTGCACCCCAGGTGCCTTCCGCGCTCCTGGTTGCCTTATGCGTCCAGTTCTCCCTGTTCTCTGCATGCCGCGACCCTTGCCCGGCTGCTCGTCTCCGCCCCTCCTACCAGTCTGGATGAACGGGTCTACTTCAACTTCTTGGCTGTCTGACTTCCATTCAGATAAATTCTTTTGTCAGTTCTGGGTGTTATTCTGCCTCTAAATTGTTGTTGTTCCAATCTTGGTTGTGCGTGGAGGTACGGTACGTCCACCTATGCCTCCATCTTGCTGGAAGTCGCCCAAAAGTAAATTTCATCCAACAAATTGAAGATAATTTATAACATGTAGGACTTCTGTTTCTGATAATGGCAAGCCAAGTTGTTAGACCTGGTTCAAAACTGGTTATCAATTCTTCTACTGATGATAACCAGAGAATATTTGGATGGAATATAAATAAAATATCCTAAAGCATCAAAGAGTTAATAAAAGAAAAGAATTGCAGGTGAATGCCAGAAAATAAAGGTCAGCATTTGAAGGTGCTTTTGCCTTGAAGGCCTTTGTTGATCAAGAAGCTGTGAGCTTCAATCTTGCTGCCTCTGGAATGAAGAGGAAAGTAGTCAAAGCTCGCTCAGGTCCTCCCAATGTCGGAATTTTAATATCCACTCTCTACATTAAACTGGGACTCTGAAGGGCCAAACTCTTTGGGTAAGGGTGAACCCAAGGTAAAACTGCTCCCCTTCCCTATTTACTCTTTTCCCCACTTTCACAGGGAAAGTTGTGTGGTACTGAGTAGAACAAGGAGAGGAAAAAGAGAAAGGGGAAAATATCCCAGAAGAATCTTTCACTGAGAATTATAAATGACAGCCATAGTCCTCTATGGATTGCTGCAACAATTCTTGTTCCTGGTGATCAAAGAAATCTCAAACCATGTAATTGAGTCTAAACTGATTCCAGAATGATAGTAACCTAGACACTTAACAGAAGCAAATGTAAATTTTCTTTTGGAGGAAAGCATCTTTGTTCTAGGTTTTGAGAACTTTTCAAGTAAGTTTTCAAGGACACGCAGTTGAGGAACACCAAGCATTAAGAAAACAAGGCCCCATAATTGAGAACCAGGAGAAGGAGGCACAGTAAAAGGTGATCTGTGAAGACTTCAAAAACTGGCTTTACTGGACACTCATTTAAGCATGCTAACTATGTTTAATGAAATAAAAGACAAGCTTGGAAATATGTTAAGGGCATAGGAAACTGCAAAAAGAGACACAACAGGCTTGAAAAAAAACAATAGAATTTATAGAAAAGAAAAATGAAATACTTAAAAATTCAAAAGCTAGGTTTGATAGCACATATTGTACATGACTTAGAAAAGAATTAGTGGAACTGGACTAGATTAAAAGTAATTATTGAGAATATACTGTAGAGGGGAAAGGATGGAGAATTGGCAGGAAGTTAAGATATATTGAGGATAATGTGCTAAGGTATAAATATTTAATTGGAATTAATGGGGAAGAAGTGATGAGAGAGAAAATAGAATGTAGACATTTTGTTTATCTTTTCAGAAAAACAGCTCTTAGTTTCACTGATATTTTAAAATCAATCTTTTCTATTGCTTTCTTTCCCTATTTCATTTATTTCCAGTCTGAGCTTTGTTAATTCCTTCCTTCTACTAGCTTTGGGCTTCTTTTCTGGTTTTTAGAGGAGTGCAGGGGTGTTCAACTTGTGGCCTGCGAGCTGCATGCAGCCCAGGGTAGCTATGAATGTGGCCCAACACAAAATTGTAAATTTACTTAAAACATTAGGAAATTTTTTTGTGATTATGTGTTGCAACATATTTAATGTGTGGCCCAAGACAACTTTTCTTCTTCTAGTGTGACCCAGAGACACCAAAAAGTTGGACACCCCTAGTAAAGTTAGGTTGCTTATTTGAGATCCTTCTTATTTCTCAGTGTAGGCTTTTATTCCTATGAACTTTTCTCTTAGAACTGCTTTTGCTGTATCACTTAAGATATTTTTTTATTTCTCTTTTGATTTCTGTTTTGACCCATTGGTTGTTATGTAGCATATTAATCTCTACATACAGTATCTGTGAATTTTCCAGTTTTTTTTTCTTGTAATTGATTTCTAGCTTCCTACCATTGTGGTTGGAAAAGTTGCTTGATATGATTTCAGTCTTCTTGAATTTATTAAGACTTGTTTTGTGGCCTAGTGTATGATTTATCCTGGAGAATATTTCCTGTGCACTTCAGAAGAATGTATAATCTGTTGCTTTTGGATGGAATGTTATGTATATGTCAGTTAAGTCTGTCTGGTATAATGTGGCATTTAAGGCCAGTGTTTCCTTATTGATTTTTTTTGTCTGAATGATCTATTCATTGATACAAATGAGGTGTTAAAGTCCTCTACTATTACTGTATTGCTGTATCTTTCTCCCTTGTTTGTATTAGGTGCATAAATATTTACAAATATGTGTTTATATTATCCTCTTCTTGGAGTGACCCCTTTATCGTTGTATAATGACCTTCTTTGTCTATTACAGTCTTTATTTTAAAGTCTATTTTGTCTGATACATATACCTATTTCAGCTTTCTTTTGGTTTCTATTAGCATCAAATATCTTTTACCATCCCTTCACTTTTAATTGCTGTGTGATGTGTTATTCTTTAATGTATTATTGTATTTGATTTGCTAGTATTTTGTTTAGGATTTTTGTATTCATCAGAAATATTGGTTTGTAGTTTTCTTTGTTTTTGTTCCTGCCATGCAGTTGTTTTTTGTAGTGGCAGCCCCAGTTTATATTCCCACCAGCAGTGTACAAAGGTTCCCTTTTCTATACATCCTGTCCAACACTTGTTATTTCTTGTCTTTTTGGTAATGGCCATTCTAGATGTGAGGTGGTATCTTATGTAATTTTGATTTGCATTTCTCTGATATTTAGTGAACATCTTTTCATGTGCCTATTGACCATCTGTATGTCTTTGGAAAAACTTCTGTACAGATCCTCTGTCCATTTCTAAATTTGGCTGTTTATTTTTATGTTGTTGAGTTGTGTGAGCTATTTATATATTTTGGGTAATCCCTTAGTGATGCATGTTTTGTAAATACTTTCTCTCCTCCAATAGGTTGCCTTTTCTTTTTGTTGATGACTTCCTTCACTGTGTAGAAGCATTTGATGTAGTCCTATTTGTTTACGTTTGCTTTTGTTTCTTCTTTTTTTTTCTTTTTGTTGTTTTGTCTTTTTCTTTTTCCTTTCTTTTTCTATTTTTGCTTTTGTTTTCCTTGCCTTTGCAGTCATGTCCAAAAAAACATCATTAAAACCTATGTAAAGGAGCTAATCACCTGTAACTTCTAGAATTTTTATCGATTCAGGTCTTACATTCAAGTGATTAATCCATTTTGAATTAAGTTTTGTGGCATAAGATAGTGAGATCTAGTATTATTATTTTGCATGTGGCCATCCAGTTTTCCCAACACCCTTTAGTGATGGTTTTTCTTTCCCCATTTTATGTTCTTGGCTCCTTTGTTGTAAATTATATATGTGCAGATTTATTTCTGGGTTCCTTATTCTGTTCTACTGATCTGTGTGTCTGTTTTTATGCTGACATACTGTTTTGATTATCATAGCTTTGTAGTATAATTTGATCAGGGAAAGTGATACCCCATTTGTTCTTTCTCAAGATTGCTTTGGCTATTCAGAGTCTTTTGTGGTTTCATACAAATTTTAGAATAATATTTGTTCTACTTCTCTGAAACGTGTTATTAGAATTTTGAATGGGATTACGTTGAATCTGTAGATTACTTTAGGTGGTATGAACATTATGATCATTTTAATTCTCTCAATCTATAAATGTGGAATGTCTTCCCATTTATTTGTGTCTTCAGTTTCTTTCAACAGTGTCTGATAGTTTTCAGTGTACAGGTCTTTTACTTCCTTGGTTAAATTTATTTCTAGGTATTTTATTCTTTTTGATGCAATTGCAAATGAGATTTTTTTTCTTAATTTATCTGATAGATTGTTATTTGTATGTAGCAATGCCACTTTTTGTATATTGATTTTTTTATTCTGCAACTTTACTGAATTCATTTATTAGTTCAAACAGTTTTTTGTGTGTGTATATGGAGTCTTTAGGAAGTCTTTTTTATGTATAGTATTATGCCATTTGCAAATAGTGACAGTTTTATTGCTTTCTAATTTGGGTAATTTTTATTTCTTTTTCTTGTTTGATTGCTGTGGTGAGTACTTCCAATACTCTGTTGAATAAAAGTGATGAAGTGTGCCTTCTAGTCTTGTTCCTGCTCTTAGAGGAAAGCTTTCAGCTTTTCACTGTTGAGTATGATATTAGCTATGGGTTTCTCATACATAGCCTTTACTACGCCGAGGTATGTTCCCTCTATATCCACTTTGTTGAGAGTTTTTATCATAAATGGATGCCAAAGTAGATGCCAAATTGGATGCCAAATGTTTTTTCTGCATCTATTGAGATGATCATATGATTTTATTCTTCATTTTATTAATGTGGTGTAGCACACTGATTGATTTGCAGATGTTGAATCATTCTTGTATGCCTGGGATAAATCACACTTGAACATGTTATATGAACCTTTTAATGCATTGTGGAATTCCGCTTGCTAATATTTTGTTGAGGATTTTTGCATCAGGGATATTGGCCTATAATTTCCCTTTGTTTTTCTATAAGGGTAATACTGGTCTTATAAGATGACTTTGGAAGTATTCTCTCTTCTTCAGTGTTTTGGAAGAGTTTGAGAAGAATAGGTATTAAGTCTTCTTTGAATATTTGGTAGAATTTACCTGTGAAGCCAGCTGGTTTGTTTCTTGAGAGGTCTTTTTAAATTCCTGGTTCAGTCACCTTACTAGTAATTTGTCTATTCAAATTTACTATTTCTTCATGGTTCAGTCTTGGAAGATTGTATGTTTCCAAGGATTTATTCATTTCGTCTAGATTGTCTAATTTGTTGGCACGAAATTGTTCTTAATAGTCTCTTACAATCTTTTGTATTTCTGTTATATCAGTTGTAACTTCTTTTTCATTTTTGATTTTATTTATTTGAGTCCCTGCCTCTCTCAGTGAATCTTGGATTTCTTATTTATAGCATTATTATTTACAGTTATATTTAGTTTTGTTCTTAAAACTTTGCAACCTCTTCCCCCCTCAAATGTAAAAAAGCAAAAATTTTATCTGTGTTATTCACCTTGAGAAGTTTTTGTCACATATGGGATTCTTTATAAAAGTTTCTTGAAAGAATTGTACCTTTTTCTTCATTTGATTGTTTTCCTTGCCATGTATTTGTGCAAAGCATTTCCTGACTGATATTCTTCATATTGTCCAGTTTGGGTTTACATCGTGCTTAGGATGAGCAAATATCTTAGTAACACTGTAATGTTGGAAAGAAACACTATTATGTCAAGTGCTTATTTAATTTAGTTTTTTCCTCTCTCTTAGTCTTCAAACAAGACTTCTCCGCTTGATAAACATATGGAACTCATGATCAGTAAGCATGGATTGACTCCCCAACCATTTGCTGCTCAGATGTTTGGGAATGCTGGGAAAGAGCACATGGAAAAATATGGTATGTTAAAAAAAACTTTAGAGCATATTGGTTAATACATGTTATATACACATTATGTAGATGTGATGAGAAGCAGCAGGTATTTATTAAGGTACTGTGGAAGATGCCAGGATATATAAGATATAAAATGGTTTTTACATTAAGTTGAAGAAATAATCTGCATAGAATTTAGTTGTAGAGAATGTATTTATTTATTTATTTTTAAAAGATTTAATTTATTTATTTTTAGAGGGAGGGAGAAGGAGAGGGAGAGAAACATCAGTGTGTGGTTGCCTCTCTCATACTCCCAAGCAGGGACCTGGCCCAAAACCCAGGCCTGTGCCCTGACTGGGAATCGAACCAGCAATCTTTTGGTATGCAAGCCAGCGCTCAGTCCACTGAGCTACACCAGCCAGGGTGAGAATGTATTTATATGTAGGACATTATATTGGAAGTGCCTAGAATGCTCTAAAGCCAGAAATTGAAATAGGAAAAATAATATAAATCTTGTGTCCTTTGATCATGGACTGTAAATTGAGGTTCGTCCATTCTGAGTATTATAATGAGCGTTAAAGCTATCTCTTGGTAATAGGTTTATACAGTCAAATTTTATTCCTGGTACAAAGTTTATTTTTAGTAATAGGTTTTCATTGTCAAAATTTATTCCTAGTACTTAGTACATTGTCATCTATTATTCCATAGTGTTTTATGGGATTTAAATTTCATGGTTGATTTTTATTTTGCAGGTAAATGTACAAGTGGTCAATGATTGGCCTTTCTTAGCCAGTCAAAGTGTGGGATAGTGCAGACAGGATTTTTATTCTCGTTTCATGACCCTGAACCAGTGCCTCGTTGTGTGCTGTGGGATGAGAAAGAACATTTTCATGCTTGAAAACTTAGCATTCCTATTCTTTATAGCAAAAATATCTTAAGTTTGATACCCAAAATCCAGTAATCAGAAAGCAAAAAAATCTTCAAGGCAGAATGGTGGGAGCATATAAAGGAACCAGCCTTTGGCTATGGAAATTTTCTTTCTTGTACCTATTTCTTACCATTTTTAACTCAGTCTAATCCAATCTGGCTTTCCTCCTTTTTCAAGGCTACCATTGATCACTGTGTTTCCATATACAGTAAATACTTTTCAAACCTGATTTAATAGAGCTCAGCAGCATTAATCTGTTTTGATTACTTTTTTTTTTTTTTTGAAACATTCTGTTCTCTTCGCCTCAGTGACACCATGTTCTCCTGGTTTTTCTTACCTCTTTGGCTATTCCTTGTTCATTTCTTTTTCTTTTTAAAGCTTTTCAGTATCTTAAAAATATAACAATTTTATTTATTTTTTAGAGAGAGGGGAAGGAAGGGAGAAAGAGGAAGGAAAGGGCAAAGACAGAAACACTGATGTATGAGAGAAACATTCTGTTGTCTCTTGCACGCCCCTAACTGGGGACCCAGCCCACAACCCAGGCATATGCCCTGACTGGGAATCTAATCAGTGACCCTCTGGCTTACAGGCCGGTGCTCAATCCACTGAGCCACACTAGCCAGGGTCCATTTCTTTTTCAATTAAACATGAATTCATTTAAACAAGCCTTGGCTGGTGTGGCTCAGTGGATTAGGTACCAGCCTGTGAACCGAAAGGCTGCTGGTTCAATTCCTGGTTGGGGCACATGCCTGGGTTGTGGGCCAAATCCCCCGATTGGGGGCACGTGAGTGGCAACCTATTGTTGTTTCTCTTCCTGTCTTCCTCTCTCTCTCAAAATAAATAAATAAAATCTTTAAACAACAACAATATATTGAGCTCTCATTATATTCCAGGCACTGTTCTAGGTACTGGAATACAGCTATTGCCGTATAGTAAACCACTATAAAACAGTGATTTTAAATGGCATTTATTATTATAGTTTATAAGTTTGTAGATTGACTGGGAACCAGCTGATCTAAGCTGAGCTCAGCTTTTCTTGTCTAGCTTAATCGTATGACTGTAGGCTGGTTGGAGGCTCTGTTCTAGTCTTACTTATTTAGGTCATATGTCTCCCATCCTACTCCTAGGACCAGGAGAGGGCCAGCCCTGACAATACACTTTTCATGGTGAAAGCAGAAGCACAAGAGAGTAATTTTCAACATGCAGGTCCTTTTGAGATTTAAGTTGTTGACTAAAGTAAGTCACATGGCAAACTTGGAATTAGGGGATAGGGAAATGGACTTCACTTTTGTGGTCAGAAACTTCGAAGTCAGACAGCAAAGGACAGACATGCGGAGGCCGGGGGAAAGGAGTTAGTGCTGTGAAAAAAAATAAAAGCAGATAATATACTTTTGGGTATTGGGGAGCAAACAGGATAGTCAGTGATAGCCTCTATGCTTGTACATCCAGTCGGCATCTTGGTATCTCTGTATATAACAGGCTTCTGAAATTTTACATGTTCAAATACAGACTCTTAGTTCTGTTCTCCCATTATCTTACACTTGCTCCTCCTCCATTTTTCCCAAAGTGGCACATCCATTCAGATGTTCAAAGCCGAAACACGAGTCATCTTTGACACTTCTTCCTCTTTTCCCACTATTCCAGTGCTCTACTGCAGTCCTATGTACTATCAATTCTACCTCCAAAGTAGGTTTCTTTCAATTCTTTTCATTAGTATAGCTGTCACCCAAGACCAGAATTTTTTGAACTGTGAGTTGTGAACTGCTAAGAAATTAAGGAACCAAGTTAGTGGGTTGAACTCAGAATGTTTTTTTTTAATCCAAAATTTTTGGCCCTGGTCGGGTAGCTTAGTTGGTTAGAGCATCGTCCCAATATGCCAAGGCTGTGAATTCAATCCCAGGTCAGGGCACACATAAGAATCAACCAATGAATGCATAAATGAGTGGAACAACAAATTTATGTTTCTCTCTCTCTCCCTGTCTCTCTCTAAAATCAATAAGTAAAATTTAAAAAATTTTTGTTCTTGTTGTGTATTATAATTCAATACAAAGAAGTACATAAAACATAACTTAGTGAATTCTAACAAAGGTCATAACTGTCTCCTAAACCACTTCCCAGGTCACAAAATAAAATGCTATCACACAAGAATGCTCTCTGCAGATTATTTTATCTTAAGAATTTTGTGCCCTGGCTGGTGTGGCTCAGTGGATTGGGTGCCTGCCTGCAAACCAAAGAGTTGCTGGTTCAATTCCCAGTCAGGGCACGTGCCTGGGTTAGGGGCCTGGACCCCAGTGCGGGGTGTGTGAGAGGCAACCACACATTGATGTTTCTTTCCCTCTCTTTCTCTTTCCCTTTTCCTCTCTCTAAAAATAAATAAAATCTTAAAAAAAAAAAGAATTTTGTGAGTCTCCTGTGAATCTTGTTGGGTTACACCATCAGTTAAAAAGCTACAACTGCAAATCTTTTTGAGGCAAGCCCTTCTCTACCTTGGATTTCTGCTGAGATGACTGAGGAACAACATTCTTAAGCTTCCTAGCAGCTTTTTGATTGAGAGGATTATTGAGGCATAGCCTTTTTCTCTTTCAAAGGCTTTTTTTCTGTGTGACCTATACTCTGAAGCATCACCTTTGCTGTTTCTGAGCTCCTAACAAAAGATTTGTCATGCCCTTGGCTTCATCTTTGGACCATGTTTTCCAGGCAGTGTCTTGGATTTGCTCTTTGCTCAAAGACCATCCACAGTCCTTTTTTAAGATAGAGAAAGAAGAGGCGGGGAGGACAGAGAAATAATGATTTGTTTTTCCATTTATGTATGCACTTATTACTTGATTCTTGTATGTGCCCTGACCAGGGATTGAACCCATAACCTTGGTGTATTGGGGCAATGCTCCAACTAAGTGAGCTACCTGGCCAGGGCTCAAAGGCCATTTCTTGACTTTAGCATCTTTTTCCATTTTGAGAGGGTGAGAATTTTCAAAATCATTAAGTCCTGAATCCTTTTTTGTTTAACAATCCTTTCCTCTATATAACTATATAGAATTTTTCTATAAGCAGCAAGAAGAAACCATGTGGAAACTTCAATATTTTGCTTATTATCTAATTTCCACATAACATCAGATAATAGTGTTACCGAAATTTCTGCTACTGTTGTAACAAGACTGTCCTTTCCTCCAGTTCTCAGTAAGGTTTTATCTTTTTGCAAACCCTCACCTCCAGCATCCTTAAAGGACCTTGAGGCTTCTACTAATCGTTTCTTGAAGGCATTTTAGGCTTTCGCTCACACCTCTTGGTTCCAAGGTCATTCACATATTTTACGTTTTTGTGTAGTGTAACTCTACTTCCAGTATTTAGTATACTTGGGCTGCCGTAACAAATACCATAGACTGGGTGGCTCAAACATAAGATATTTATTTCTCACAGTTCTAGAGGCTGGGAAGTTCAAGATCAAGGTGTAAGGTAGGTTTTATTCTGAGGCCTCTTCTCTTGTATGCAGCTGCCATCTCACTATGTACTCATATGACCTCTTCTTTTGTGTGGGTGTTGCAGGGTGGAGAGAAAAGTAGACAGAAAGGTAGACAGATACCTTCTTAGTCTTCTTTCAAGGGCACTAATTCCATCATTCTCATGAGCTCATCTACCCTAATTACCTCCTCAAACCTCATCTTCAAACACCATCGCCTTGGATATTAGGGCTTCAACATACGGATTTTTTGTGTGTGGGGGGGAACAATTCAGTCCATAGCATTCAGGTACTAAAATATGTGTTTATTATCTATTACTGTATAATAATGAGAGTCTATTTTAAAAAACCATTTCTTGTTTTCATTCCTCTGTTCTCTGCCAAACTATTCTCTGCCTCAGCCTCATGTTCCGTTTGGCTACAGGGTTCACTTCTTCATTCTTTCAGGGCCAGTTCCATCTCATCCTTTGGGTCTTAAATCTTCTCTCACATCTCCAGTACTTCACAAAAGAATCTCCACTTGGAAGTCTTATAGGCATCTCAAATTTAACAGGTCTAAAACCAAAGTCCTAATTCTTTGCTTGAACTTCCCCCTTTCTTATCTGTCTTCCTGAAGTTTTCTGCATTTGGTAAATCATTTCGTCTTTCTGGGACCTTTGGCCGAAAACCTTGGAGCCATTCTCTTATTTTAAATTTATTTATTTTTAGAGAGAGGGGAAGTCGAGAAAGGGGAAGTCAGGGAGAAACTGAGGCAGAGAAACATTGATGTGTGAGAGAAATGTCCATCGGTTGCCTCTCATGTGCCCCCTAACTGGGGACCTGGCTCCAACCCAGGCATATCCCCTGACTGGGAATTGAACTGGTGACCTTTTAGTTTGCAAGCCAGTGCTCAATCCACTGAGCCACACCAGCCAGGGCTTGGAGCCATTCTTACTTCTACTTATACTGGACATTCATTATATCAGCAAACCTTTCCCTTTATTTCTCAAAATATCTATTTCTCACCATTTCTACCACTTCTATAATAGTGCAAGCCCCACCTTGCACTTGACTCTAGGACTATCTTACCTTGTTTTTCTGTTTCTGCTTTTGTACCTCTGTAATCAATTCTTTACTTTATAGCCAGAGCAATGCTTTTAAAGTATAAGCCAGATCATTTCACTTCTCTGCTTAGAACTTTCCACTGTGTTCTCCTCACACTCAGATTGAAACCCATAGGTCTTATTGTGGCTTACAAGCTTCTTGATCTGATCCTCCATCCTCTTTTGCTGTCTGGGGTCTCATCTCTTATCATTTTTTTCTTTCACCACTCTACTCTAGCTACACGATTTTTTCTGTTCATTAAACCCAGTAAGCACATTCCTACCTCAGGCAGGGCCTTAGCCTGGCTATTTCTACTTCTGGAATGCTCTACCCTAAGATATCATCAGTACTAGCTCACTTACTTCCACCTTTGCTTAAATGCTATCTTCTGTTTGTTTGTTTGTTTGTTTGTTTTATTCACCCTTCTTCCCAGAGTTGCCTATCATCTGTCTCTTGTTTTATTTTATATAGCATTAATGGTAATGGAAAAAAATACAATAAACATTAAAAATCTGGCATACAAATTTTTTTTTTTAAGATTTTATTTATTTATTTTTAGGGAGGGAAGGGAGGGGGGGAGAGAGAGAGAGAGAGACATCAATGTGCGGTTGCTGGGGGTTATGGCCTGCAACCCAGGAATGTACCCTGGCTGGGAATCGAACCTGGGACACTTTGGTTCCCAGCCTGCGCTCAATCCACTGAGCTACGCCAGCCAGGGCTCAAATTTTTTTATTTATTGACTATCTCCAACCAGAATCTAAGCTCCATAAGAGCACTGATTTTTTTTGGTTTTATTCCTTGCTCATTGACTGTTACCTAGAACAGTGCCTGGCACAAAGCAGATATTCTGTAAGTAATTATTAAATTTTCAAAGAAAGAGCTACCTTGACCATTCACATTGAAGTAGGTCCCTCCTGTTAACTTACGTTCACAGATTGCCTTCTATTGCTTTCCTCCATAGCACTTAGCATTGTTTATAGTCACATATTTATTGCATGTGGTTTTACTTGTTTAGTTTTTGTCTTCCTTATAAACTCTGTGAAAGCAACAACCATGTCTATTGTGTTTACCTTCAGTATATCTCGCCTAGCACAGTGCTTGTCAGGTAAGCTGGCTGGAAGAGAATTTTCTTCTCTTCTGGTCTATAGTTCCTAGCATATTGATATACTCAACAAACATTTGTTGAATGACTAAATGAATGATTGAATTTCCATACTTATGTCGTTTCATTCAATTCTCAGTCTGTTTTAGGAGGTAGTATTATTCCATTAAGATGCTGGCTTCAGGGTCTCGTGTGTGTGAGTGTGCACGTACATGTGTGTTTATTCTGTTGAGAAAGTATCCATCAACTTTTACTTTCTTGAGTTTGTATTACTTTCAGGAATGGGTATTAAATTTTGTCAAAGGCTTTCCCAGCAGTTATGTAGTTGAATGCATTATATTCTCCATGTAGATCTATTTTTTCAAAAGATTTTTATTTCTTTGTTTTTAGAGAGAGGGGATGGGAAGGAGAAAGAAGAAAGGGAGAGAAATATCCAAGTGTGGTTGCTTGTCATGCGCCCCCTACTGGGGACCTGGCCTGCAACCCAGGCCTGTGTCCTGACTAGGAATCGAACCGGCAACCCTTTAGTTCACAGGCCAGCACTCAATCCACTGAACCATACCAAACAGGGCTCCACTTAGATCTATTAATAGAATATTTTGTTAATGAATTTATGATACTGAATCAACTTTGCATATCTGGAATGCATCCCACTTGGTCATGATATCTTGACTTTTTTAATGTGGGGTTATGCTCTGTCAGTTTTTTTAGTACTGTCAAAAATGAATATAAGTGGTATGGTTAATGATTTTCTTTTTACTTATGTTTTTATCAAGTTCGGTGTTAATTTTACACTTGCTTTATATAAAGATATAGGAAGCCTTTATTCACTTTTAATTATTTATCAATTTTAAAGAGAGAAGGGAGGGGGAAGAGAGAGGAACATCGATTTGTTGTTCCACTTATTTATGCATTCATTGATCGATTCTTGTACGTGCTCTGACCAGACAGAGAGTGAACCCACAACCTTGGTGTATCTAGATGATGCTGTAACCAACTGAGTTAATCTGGCCAGGGCTCATTCAACTGATATTTAACGAGTTGTAGAATTTCATAGAATTTTAAGTTGTCATTTGAAATTGCTCTTTGTGAATGTGCACTAGAAAAGAATGCATAAAAATATTTGTATAGCTTACATGCTTCTATAGAATCAGCAGATTTTTGTGGCTTCAAACTTTGACTCAGAAAGATTGAAATTTTTTTATACCATCATATCCTTTCAAAAGCCAAAAATTTGAATTGGCAGTTCTGAATCAGTAGTTAATAAGCTGTTCATCAGTGCCCAGGTTTAATAAACGTATGATAAGTGAGTGGAAAAAAATATTTTTTAAAGGACTGTTACCTTTTATAGATAAATTGGATCCTATGATAAGAAAAAAAGAAGAGTGTCTTAGCGAACCTGCTAAGATTGCGGGTTCGATCCCCAGTCAGGGTGCACAGAAATACAAGGTTCAGCCAAAGAATGCGCAAATAAGTGTGGAACAACAAATCAATGGTTCTCTCTCTCTCTCTTCCTCCCCTGTCCCTCTCTCTCTCCCTCTCTCATCTTCTTTCTCTTTCAAATCAATACATTTTAAAAATCCAGTATTAAATCCAGCTTAATCCAGTATTATCTAAACTTGACAGAACCCTTATATTTTTAGCAGTACCAAAAAAACTTGCTTAAAAAAACCAAAGTCTACACTACGCTACTTCCTTATCTTGTCCCAAAGATGTCTTGAAAATTTAATTTTCTTGCTTATATCCAGATACCATATTCCATTTTATCTCCCAGTCAATCCAATAAAAAAATATTACTGTGATATGGCTTGTTCTTTGTGGACCCATATTGGCTGCCGCCTGATCACTGCTCTTACTGGTATGAGATCACCAGTGTGGATGGAATCTGCCTTATTCCCTTACTTCAGGGGTGTGAAGATGCTGTGGCAGACTTCTGGAAGAATTGCTGGCAGTTTTTCCTTGCCTGAAAACCACTGTGGTCCCGGGCTATATTTTCTAGTTTTTGAAATTGGACTCTAGTTATTTTAGGTAGAATTGGCGAGTTTGAACTATTTTCATATATAGTGTGGGGCAAAGTAAGTTTACAGTTTTGAGTACACAAAACACAGAGTTTATTCTCATTTATTAATTATTATATTATTTTCCATATGAACAACTGTAAACTTACTTTGCCCCACCCTGTATGTCTATTAGTTGATTCAATTCAGTAAATATACCCAAGTTTAATGATTAAGAAATATTTGTGGAGGGATCAGTGTTGACATCTTCAGTACTGATGTCTGTGTGAGCGAAAATATGTAAATATGGAGCAGGACACTGAGTACCATTGCAACATTTGTTAACAAGCAGCCAAAGAACATTAACTCACAAATAGATATGTGCTTTCTCTACAGGAACAAACATCGAACAGTTTGCAAAAATTGGATGGAAAAATCATAAACATTCAGTTAATAACCCGTAAGTATTTCAGATCTATGAAATAGTGAAGCTCTTGGTTATCCTGCTGTATAATGTGCAACTTTAATACTTGAAAAGCTAATGTAATGAGCGGATAAAAAGGCTGTGGCACATTTACACAATGAAATATTACGCAGCAGAAAAAAAAAAAAAGAAGAAGAAACATTTTGCAACAGCATGGATGGACCTAGAGGAAATTATGCTAGGTGAATTAAGCCAATTAGTAAAAGAAAAATACCACATGATCTCACTTATATGTGGAATGTAATGAACAAAATAGTAACAGATGCTTAGCTTAGATACGTTAAACAGACTGACAGCTACTGGAAAAGAGGCAGGGTCGGAGGGTAGATGGGATAAAAGATGGTGGAGGGACTAACCAAAGAACATTTATACACATCCTGTGGACATGGACAACAATATGGGCACTGGCTTGGGGAGGGCAGAGGGTGGGGTTGAGAGGAGGTGGGGAAAGGGAGAAATTTGGGAACAACTGTAACAGTATAAACAATAATTTTTTTAAGAAGCTGCCCTGGTGGTGTGGTTCAGTGGATTAAGTGCCAGCCTGCAAACCAAAGGGTCACTGGTTCAATTCCTGGTCTGGGCACATGCCTGGGTTGTGGGCCAGGTCCCCAGTTGGGGGAGTGTGAGAGGCAACCATACTTTGATGTTTCTCTTCCTCTTTCTCCCTCCCTTCCCCTCTCTCTAAAATTAAATTAAAAAATGTTTTTTAAAAAAGCTAATGCAAGACCTCAAAGATATTAAGCAGAATTTTTTATTTTTAATTTTATTTTTCAATTACTGTTTACATTCAGTAGTATTTCATATTAGTTTCAGGTGTACAGCATAGTAGTTAGACAATCATATAATTTATAAAGTGATTCCCTGATATATATCAAGTACCCATCTGGCACTGTACACAGTTAATCCAATATTATTGACTGTATTCCCCATGTATTTTTTTCTTATTAAATACTTGTGCCCTTTTGCTTTCTTTTTATTTTATTATTATTATTATTATTATTATTATTATTATTATTTTTAAAGATTTTATTTGTTTTCAGACAGGGGAGGGGAAGGAGAAAGAGAGGGAGAGAAACATCAATGTGTGGTTGCCTCTCATGTGCCCCCTACTGGGGGTCTGGCTTGCAACCAGGCCTATGCCCTGACTGGGAATCGAACTGATGACTCTTTAGTTTGCTGTCCGGCACTCAGTCCACTGAGCCACACCAGGTGGGGCTTGACTTCTTTTTTTTTTAAAGATGTGTTTATTTAGCATTTGTACTCCTTACATTTGGTTGTAGGAGCCAATACAACCAAATACATTTGGTTGATTTTTAAAATATTTTTTAATTTATATTTTAGAGAGGGGGAGGGAGGGAGGAAGAGAGGGAAAGACACAGCAATGTGTGGTCCCCACTGGGGACCTGGCCCACAACCCTGGCATGTGCCCTGATTGGGAATCAAACTGGCGACCCTTTGGTTTACAGGCCAGCATTCAATCCACTGAGTCACACCAGCCAGGGCACCTTTTGTTGATTTTCGAAAAGATTTTATTTATTTACTTTTATTTTATTTTATTTTTCTAAAGAGGAAAGGAAATGTTTATTTAAAGCTAATGAAACTTAGAGTAGTGACCTGATGTCTTCATTAAAATATCGAAGTCCTTTAGGATACCCACAGACACACACACAGTCCTTCTTTCCCCCTCTGCCCTAATTTGGGGTACCGTGTCTCTCAGGAAAAGAAGTAGATGTCTGTGATTCAGGATCCCAGCACCATCAGCTGGGTCACCATCAGGATCTCCACTTTGGACCCCAGTTAATCCAAAGTCATGTGGTGCCTTCTCATGGCCCATTAGCAAAAGGTCCTTTCACCCTTTTTTTTTCCAGGCAAAGTCTCTTATTTCTTAAGCCATGTGGCCAAAGAGTGCACCCCAAAGCTGTGGGGTCTTCACTCTCGCCAAAGCCGCGGGGGTCCCCCCATCAAAGCTGCGAGGGGATCTGCACTCTGGCTAAAGCTTCTTGGTTCTCCCCTATTTATTTACTTTTAGAGAAGGGGGAAGGGAGGAAGAAACAGAGGAAGAAAATATTAGTATGTGATTGATACGTATATTGGTTGCCTTTCCCACCCCAACCCCTCAACCAGGGATCTCGCCTGCAACCCAGCATGTGCCCTGACTGGGAATCAAACTGGCGACCTTTCAGTTTGCAGGCCAGTGCTCAGTCCACTGACTGAGCCACACCAGCCAGTGCTGATTTGCTTTTATTTTAGTTTTGGTCTGTTTATATTTAGAAAATCATTTAAGCTTAATCACTCTTTTATGAAAGAATGTGAATGGCTGGCATTAAAAGATATAATTGGCTTTACATTGCCACTCTAGTGAATAAAATTTATTGTAATAATTTTAGTTGGAATAACCAGTCACTATTTTAAGCCCATCATTAAAACTTTTCTTAGTTTATTTTGATCAACTAAAATATTTGTAAAATGCATGTTAGTGGTCATTCAAATTAATTTGTATGAAATTATATGTATTACTTTAGTAATGCATTTCAATTATGCTAGTGTCATTAACTTTTACTCTGGTAAAATAATATGGTTATCTATATCCTAAAAAATAACCTGAAGTACAATTGCATTATGTGTATTACAGATCATTAATCTTTGAATTCCCTAGAGTGTAGCATAGTGTCTGGTGCATAGCATGTACTTAATGGTTGCTAAATAAAGTTGGTTCACTGATGGTTGAATTAGTGCCCTAGGCAATACCACTAGGCAATAAAAGGGTAATAGCTCACTTTATTAAATGCCAACTCTGTGTCACTGTGCTTGATACTTTTATGTACACATTCATTTAGTCCTCTCAAGGACCTTATAAAGTAGATTTTTTTATTCTCATTTTATAGATGAGGAAAACGAGGCTTACAAGAAATTAGGTAATTTGCTCAAGACCATTCTAAATAGTGGCAAAATAATGTTTATATTTTTCCTCCTCCTAGGTTATAATCTCTTTGAGGGAAAGAGTCATCTGTTATCTTTAATGCTTAGTACAGAGCTTGGAACTTAATAGCTGCTCAGTAAATTGTTTCTGAATTATTAACCAAATTTTGCCACATTTAATAAACATAGAACCATGACAAGGCACATTTTATACCATAAGTAGATTATTACCACATATTCCTAGTACTTCGTGCTGCTGCTAGTTCTTCTCATTTTCCTAATTTTATATTGATGTTTGAATTTAGAGCATACCTAATTAACAACTACCGAATTCCATGCTTTAGAGCTAAGGGTGTTTTCTGAAATATCTAAGGATATTGTGAGAGCTTTAGTGAATTCCCATTTCTTATATGATAAAATCTGAATTCCTTCATGACGTAACAAGCCTGTTATAATTTGGCCCCATTTTACTTTGTCATTCAGTTGTGAGTGGTATTTCTTACTACTTCCTTGGGATATTTCCAATCTCTAATCTTACTAGATTATTTGGCTTTCCCTAAATGTACTGCATAGAACTTGCTTATGGTTTTTGTTTTTTTGTTTTTTTGGGTTTTTTTTTTTTTCACTTAGGCTGTTAGCAATCCCTGGATAATATCCTTCTGCCATTCTTTTGTGTGGTGAAACAATTGACTTACCTGTGAAGTCCCAGTCCAAATGTCATTACTTCTCTTAATACCTTATTAAAACTTCCCTGGGCATAAATATTTCTTCTCATGAGCTTCACTGCACTGCCTGTATTCCTCTCTCATAATGCATTACACAGTAACATACTTAGTTATTGATGAGTCTTTCTCTTCTGATGATGATGACCCTTGAGCAGAGATTATCTCATCTTTCTTTTAAAGTATATTTTATTGATTGTGCTATTACAGTTGTCCTAGTTTTCCCCCTTTGCTCCCCTCTGCCTGGTATCCCCCTTGCCTCCAGTAATCCCCTCTCCTTAGTTCATGTCCATGGGTCGTACATGTAAGTTTTTGACTTCTCCATTTCCTATACTATTCTTAACCTCCCCCTGTCTATTTTGTACCTACACAGTTATGCTTCTAAATCCCTATACCTGTTCCCACATTCTTCTCTTTCCCCCTCCCAGTTGATAACCCTCCAAATGATCTCCATATGTATGATTCTGTTCCTGTTCTGGTTGTTTGCTTAGTTTGTTTTTGTTTTTGGTTTTAGATTCAGTTGTTGATAGAGCTGGATTAGATTCAGTTGTGAGTTTGTTGTCATTTAACTGTTCATAGTTTTGATCTTCTTTTTCTTAAATGAGACCCTTTAACATTTCATATAATAGGGCTTGGTGATGATGAACTCCTTTAGCTTTACCTTGTCTGGGAAGCACTTTATTTGCTCTTCTATTCTAAATGATAGCTTTGCTGGATAGAGTAATCTTTGTTGTAGGTCCTTGCCTTTCATCACTTCGAATACTTCTTGCCAGTCTTTTCTTGTCTGCAAAGTTTCTTTTGAGAAATCACCTGATAGTCTTATGGTAACTCCTTTGTAGGTAACTCTCTGCTTTTCTCTTGCTGCTTTTAAGATTCTCTCTTTATCTTTAACCTTTGGCATTTTAATTATGATGTGTCTTGGTGTGGTCCTCTTTGGGTCCAACTTGTTTGGGACTCTCTGTGCTTCCTGAACTTGTATGTCTATTTCCTTCACCAAATTAGAGAAGTTTTCTTTCATTATTTTTTCAAATAAGTTTTCGGTTTCTTGCTCTTTCTGTTCTTATTCTGACATCCCCATGATTCAGATGTTAGCCCTTTTGGAGATGTCCCAGAGTCTTCTTAAACCCTCCTTGTTTTTTTGAACTTTTCTTTCTTTGTTTTGTTCTGGTTGAATGTTTATTTCTTCCTTATGTTCCAACTGATTGATTTGAATCCTGGGTCCCTTCCCTTCACTGTTGGTTCCTTGTGGATTTTTCTTTATTTCATTTAGTGTAGCCTTCACTTCTTTCCTTATGCTTTTGCTGTATTCAGTGAGATCGCTGAGCATTCTGATCACCAGTGTTTTGATCACTCTGTATCTGATAGGTTGGCTATCTTGGCATAGCTTAGGTCTTTTCTGGAGTTCTGTTCTGTTCCTTTATTTGGACCATATTTCTTTTTCTCCTCAATTTGGCAGCCTCCCCGTGTCTGTGTACTAGGTAGAGCCACTTTGACTCTCTGTCTTAATGCATGTGTTAAGTTGTATGGGGCGGAGCCTTGAGTGTTCGCCAGGGCTGGCAGCCTGCTATACCACTTTGTGGTCCCATGTGTGGGGGAGGGGTTGAAGAGGGGTCAGTGCTGCTGCTGGCTGACTTTTGGGGGCTTGCCTGACACTTGCCCCTTTTCCAGTCACTTCACCCCCTTCCCATATGTGATTGGTGCCCCTACAGCTGCTGCCCTGGTTGTATTTCCCAGAGTGGGTGGGTTTGCTTATGTTCTGAGCTCTCCTGAGAAACCAGCACTTTTCTCCAATGCCCCAAACCCCATTGGTATTTACAGCCAGAAGTTACGAGGCTTTATATTTCCTCACACTAGAACTGGGGCTGTGTGGTCTAGCCTGGGGCTGAGATTGCTTGCTCACAAGGTGTCCCCCTGATTTTTAACCACCACACATAAATGTGGGACCACCCATTTTGCTGACTGCCGTTGCCCCCTCACTGCCACCAGCCCACCACCACTACGTGGAGTCCTCTCTGCCCTGGCTCCTGGTCTCTGCCCTTCCTACCCATCTGGATGAATATAGGTTCTTTAAATCTTTGGTTTTTGGACTTCCATACAGTTCAGTTTTCTGGCAGTTCTGGGTGTTTTTTGTTTTGAAATTAGCTGTGATCCTTTTCATGATGGTACAAGTAGGCGAAAAGTGTCTACCTACGCCTCTGTCTTGACTGGAAGTTGAGATTGTTTCATCTTTTATGTTCAATATTTAGCAAGGTATTGGAGCATAATGTATGCTCAATAAAACTTCACTGTTACTGAGTAGTAGTTAGGATGAGCAGTCTTAAGTCAAAAAGATGGTCTAGAGCCGATTTCCTTGTCCTTAGAACATGGAGAACCATTAAAAATCCATTGGATTTTCTGAAACTGGTAAGGAACTGTACCAACATACTGAGGAATTGAAAGCAGTGCAGTTTCCTGGTTTTGAGGCTCCAAAGAGCAGTTCTCGACCTTCCCTAGAGAATCAGAGCTTCCAAGTCTTTCTCTCATTTAACCTGGTGTCCAACCAGGCACTCACTCACCCACTCCTTATAGCATTCTTCTAAGGGAACATCATTGACCCAGCAGGATGTATTCAGTAGCCTGCTATCTGCATGACATTGCTTTAGCTGCTATTGATGTAGCAGTGAATAAGACAGATAAATTCCTTGTTTGCATGGATCTTCCATCGTGTTTTATAAGTTCTCAATTACGGCAAATTTCTGGATGTCGGTTTCATCATTTAAAACTCTTTGAAACAGTCAGGAATTTCTAGGTTTGGCTCAGAAATTTCAGGTGCTAAATTCTCGCATTAGGCTTTGCTTGGTTTGTCAAGAAAGAGAGTTCTGTGTTTCCTGACCAGTCATTGGAGAGGTCCTGTTTCATATTTCTAAGAAGGTTGAATTAACAAACTATTCTCAAGTGCTTCCTCACCAATTATAAGAATAATCAAATGCAGTGAGAGGCCCTGGTAAGTAGTATAGTATTAGAGATAGCCTGTGCCACTTGGGCCTTCAGACCTGTGTCTGTAAGGCCATCAGACCTATTCCTACTTGTTGTCACTTAGATATCCCACAGGTGCCTCAGAGTCAGCATGTTCACCGATAATTTACATGGCCCCTCTGCCCGGCTTTCCTTTCAGCCTCTTCATTGTGGTGAATGGCAGAACATCGCAACCCTGCGGTCATCCATGCCTCCGCCTTCTTCCTCAGTGTTCCGCGTGAGCTGCAGATGATCTGGGGATACACAGAATCCTGCCTCCACACTGTCTTTTGAATTTATCCCTTCTCTCATCTTTCCCTTCCGGTTCTGTACTGGAAGGGTTAGGTTCTTACCGTTTCTTGCTGTAGTTAATGCCCTAGTTTTTTAGTTGGTTATCTTGCTTTCCGTAATGCCTTTTTACCATCCTTTTTTGAAACGGCAGTTTTCTTGCTGAGATCCAGATCTGGTCATGTCACGTCCCAGCTTGGTAGCCTTCAGTGGTTCCTCATTGTTTCAGTGTAAAATGTAAACACCACATACTGTCCTCTCATGGTCTGATCCTTGTTCATCCTCCTTCCCTGCCTTCTCCGCCTTGCCTCCACATTCCCTCCCAAACTTAATGCTGTACCGCTTCACCTCAAGAGGCTTTGCATGCGCTGATCCTTTTGAGAGGAATTCTCTCTTCCTCCTATTTGCCTAATCTTAGGGATGAAGTTCCCTCTTGTGTCTGGGTTTGATGCACATCCTGTGAACTCCCATGGCACCCTGTGTTACATTTCCATCCTGGCATGTATCGTATTGTGTTAGAATGATGTATTTATTTGTCATGAATTCAGACTGAGTTCTTTAGTAGTGACTGTGTCCATGTCCCCAGTGCCTAGCACAGGATCTGGCACAAATAAGGTATTTTTTGAAAGTTGGTGATGGTCAAAGTTATCCGTAGAAGCAGAGGTGCAGACGCAGGTGTAGATGTGAGTGAGAAGGGCTTTATTTCTAAATAGTCGAATTGCTTGTTAATTTCCACAGTGGTTGAAGTTTGCTCTTAAAACTCCCTTGTGGTGTCTGTTGCTGCTGTTTTCACCAGAGCAAAACCTGAAACCAGATGATTATATTGTTAGAGGAGCGAGAGGGGATAAAAGTAAATTTCTTCTTTGCACCAATCAGAAAGAAAATGTTTTCAAGAATGCATATAGTTTATTGTAGGTTTTATATATTTATTTAAGAACTCCACTAGCCTTCATTAAATGTAGTTGCATAATATCCTCACCACAAAAGTTGGCTGAATTGCAAGTCATTTAATTTTTCTTTTGATGAACTAGCATTTTATAATTATCCAGCAAAAAGAAATGGTATTCTATTTTAACCTCCAACTGGTCTGACACCATCTGGGTGCACTGTAGTTCAGTTGTGGCACCAACCATCTGGAGTTAATGCAGACACCATGAACTGAGGACTCAGTCCTCTACAAGACTGCCCGCTCCTGTCAGACGTCAGCCGTGGGTAGGGTCTGTGGGCCATTTGTACTTTTGACCAACTTGCTAGCATTCAAGGGTTCCCATGACTCTATCAGGTTCAGTAATTCACTAGGCTGACTCATAGAACTCAGGGAAGTGCTGTATTTATGATTACAGTACAGATGGTCCCCAATTTAGGATTGTTCGACTTAGATTTTTTTTACTTTTAAAAAAAATGCGCTAGAGATACGCAGAAATTCAGTAGAATTCAGTAGAACTTCTACTGAATTTTAAGATTCAGTAGAAAATGGCTAAGCTAAGCTATTATGTTCACCATCAAAAAAATCCATTTTTGATGTATGATGTTTTCAACTCATAATGGGTTTATTGGGATGCGACCCCATTGTAAGTTTTGAGGAGCATCTGTATTATTACTGGATATAGGATATAACTCAGGAACAGCCAGGTAAAGAAGCTCACAGGGTGAGATCTGCAAGGGTCCCTAATGCACAGCTTCCCTGCCCTCTCCCCCAGGCAGTCAGGGCATGTCACCATCCTAGCATGTTACGGGGCGCAGCAACCAGGAAGCTCCACCAAGTTCATTGTCCATAGTTTTTATTGGCACTTCATTGTGCGGGCACACTCAGTTAAATCATTGGCCACATGATTGAATTCAGTCTTCAGCCCCGCTCTTCTTCCTGGGGTCACACTGGCTGAGAAGTCCCAGTCTTGCAAGTTCATGGTGAGTCTTTCTCTTCCTGGCGAGCAGCCCCCTGTACCACTCCCCCACAAAGAGCTGGCCCACAAGGAGCCACTTATTAGCATAACAAAGAGACTTTTGTCACTCAGGAAATCCCAAGGGTTTTAGAAGCTCCTTGATGGGAACCCAGGACAAAGATTAGTGAAGTTTCTTATTATACAGTATATGGCATTTTGAAGTTAAGATTTTCTAAAAATTCAGTTCAAATTATTTATTTATTAAAGGTTGAAACTATAAAAGTTTGTCTTTTGGTTGTGAAAAGAATACTAATGTATTATTCTCTCTTTAGCTTCTAGACCAGAACATCTTCAACAAAAAAATTGTAATTGCTACCTAATAACAATCTGTTAACTACTTATTTTGCATTTAGGAATTCCCAGTTCCAAAAAGAATACAGTTTAGATGAAGTGATGACATCTCGAAAAGTTTTTGATTTTCTGACTATCTTACAATGTTGGTAAGAAAGACATTTTATTCTTTCATGGAAGGAATGCTCCCCTGCTTCCCCCTTGGGCAAACCTTAGGCGCTGTATCTGGGTATATCTCTACTGTGCCTGCGTCTGCTTCTCCAGAACGACCAGTGTAGTCCTCACTCTGGAGTGAGTGCCCCACTTCCTTCTCCTGTGCACTGACGCTCTCTTCTCTTGGAAGATCATATATCTTATTTCCTTCTCTCATGACTTCTGCCTATTTTGCTTTAAGTGTATTTATTTATTTAAATGTGAGTTAGGAAGCCAGTGGGGCCCCACAATTTTCACCTTGAGCATTTTGTTTTCTCTGCTGTATGCTTCCACTGTAGGGAGTTTTACTCTATCGTACTGGCTAAGAGTAAACATAAAATAAGAAAAAAAATTCACAGCTCTAATAATGATAATAGTTGCAGCTTGAAAATTGCTTGACATATTTATCTCCTAGAATAATGCGTTAGTACTGCACAGGTCCTGCCTGTGCCTGGTCATCACCTGGCTGTGCCCTTGAATTGCTGGCTGGATGCACAGGAACAAGCGGGGTCAGCTTTCATCTGTTGCAATACGAAGGTCTGCTTATTTACAAAGTCCAGCTGAACTCGCAGAAGGCTTCTGTGTTTGCTGCCTCCCTTCACAGCCTACTCTAAGGAAAAGATCTATTCTGAGGAGATACCAAGAGTTTTAACCAAACCATGGACTTTCTGGAATCCTCTATTCCATCCTTTTCCAGTTTTCCAATGGATTCCAAGACTGAGTTATTGGGGAGATAGCAGAGTTGGCGCTAGTTAGGCCTATAGTAGAATCTTCATTGTATTAGGGTAAGAATAACTTTGTGTACTTTTCAGAAGTCACCAGAAGATGACTTCTACAGAAGCAAATGCAGGGTTCTTTGCCATAAGAACTTTTTGGGAGAGATTCTTAGAGACCTAGTAGTGACTGAGAGCATTTAAGTTCTTGACAGAGATTCAGTCTGTAGCAGGGAAGCGTGTATAAGTTTTAACTGCAGATATCACAAAGGGGACTATCCCATTACCATCAAGCATACTAAGCTTTCTTCCCAGAAAGACCTTCTAGCCTAATATCTTTGGACTGAGGTGGACTGGGTGTAAATAATTTTTACCTCCCCCTAGTCCCACTTCAGATGGTGCTGCAGCGGCAATTTTGGCAGATGAAGATTTTGTACAGAAGTATGGCCTTCATTCCAAAGCTGTGGAAATTCTGGCACAGGAGATGGTGACTGATTTTCCAAGCACATTTGAAGAGAAAAGCAGTATTAAATTGGTTTGTCTAAAATTCTGTTTTATTAATTAATCAAGGGATTTCTGTTTAAAAATTTTAAGGTGACATGCTGTTGTTACTGGGTCTGTATGTAATTTCCTTGAAAAACTGTCTAGAAAGTCTAATATTATAACCCGTCCTCGAGAATCTGGTAGGGGAATATAGCTGACGAGAACATGTGCTTCCTGTGATAGAGCCACGTGTCACTGTGTCAGCCTTTAACTGACTAGATGTGCTGTTCTTTTTTTCTACGTTGAACTGGCTAAATATGCTCAGAACTCCTATCCTACAGAGTTAAGGGAAAAACAAAGATGTTTTTAGGGAATTTTCTTGGTGCTTCAAAAAATCCTGATTGAAGATTAAATACAAAATGGAGGAAGAAAAAAAGAGAATTCAGACCTGGAGTTAGTTGAATATTTGAAGATACATGCATACATACATAAAATGTAGGCATATATATATATATATATATACACCTATGTAAACAATTGTACGCTAAACTACAGTTTAAAAAATGATTTGACGACAACACTCTGAATTTGGAAATGTCCCTGTACTTTGCCCAGTATCACAAAGCTAGGGTTCTGAGGTGTGGTAGAAGTGCAACTTATATTTAGGTTTTCTGATTCCAGTACATTTCCTGCTGTGCCACAGTTTCATTCTTTGAGGAAAGTTCAGTTTGCATGTTGTTATTATCCGAGACCAAAGAGGGTAAAAACATGGATTTTGGGAAAATGTTTTGAATTCCATACAATCTCCTAAAAGAAGGTTGTTTATTTTCATATAAAAATTACCCTATTGTTTCAGTGTGTTATATTGATCTATTGATAAATCTCTTCTTCCTGTTTACCACAACTGTACATTGTGGATTGATAGAGTTTTTGTAATTTAACATAAGATATGGCCTGAAAAATTATAAGTCCTTTTTATGTATCTTATTTAAAATTCTGCCTATTATAGTACCAGGTTTAATATATATATTTTTTCCCTCCTGGATATCCTTTTATTTGGACTTTCTGTATAATATAGAATCAATAGATATTTTAATATATGTGGTCATTTCTCAACTGTTATTTTATATATATTAATCCTTTATAATCCTTATATAAAAGTCCCAGTTTTGATGCTCTTAATTTATTTATTTATGATTTTGGTTTTAGATTGGCTTTGATATGGCTAAAGAAGCTGCCAGAAAGTGCTATGAGAAATCTGGCCTGAGTCCCCGCGATGTTGATGTAATAGAACTTCATGATTGCTTTTCCGTCAACGAGCTCATCACTTATGAAGCACTGGGGCTCTGTCCAGAAGGTAGTATCTTTCAGGAGATGCATATTAACTTAGTAAATTTCTCTGAGAAAATTTCATTTTCACCATTAAACAAAGGAATTCATTAATTGCTTTTCCCTCCACATTGGTTCTGCCACACTTTGGAAAGTGAATGTGAGCTATCTTGACACTGGACATTGTAGAACCTGTAGTCTTAGACAATACCAACAGTGAGACAACAGTGTGTACAGGTAATTTGTATTATGTAAATCAGAGGTACTTACAAGATCCTGTTAGTGGGAAAAAAGGATATAAAGTTACATTTGCTTTTTTAGTTAATCTTTATTATATTTTTCCATTATGATTTAGTTCCCCTAGACCCCCCTCCCCCCAGCAATCACTACACTGCTGTCCATGTCCATGAGTCCTTTTTCCTCAGTCCCTCTACCCCCTAACCACCCCCCCCAACTAGCTGTCATCTGCTCTCCAACTATGAGTCTGTCCCCATTTTCCTTGTTAGTTCAGCTTGTTCATTAGATTCCACATATGAGTGAAATCATGTGGTATTTCTGTGGTAAAATTGCTGCTTGGGAAATATACTTTTCATTAAATAATAAAGCATAAATTTCTGTTTTAAAATAGCATCATTAAAAAATTACATTTTAAAATAGTAAAATTAAAAAAATCACCTTTTTAGCTCCCAAATTATTTTTTAAAATATATTTTATTGATTATGCTATTACAGTTGTCCCATTCTCCCTTCACTTCCCTCCACCCTGTACCTCCTCTCCCACCCACGTTCCCCCACTTTAGTTCATGTCCATGTGTCATACTTGTGAGTTCTTTAGCTTCTACCTTTCCCGTACTATTCTTGCCCTCCCCCTATCTATTATCAACCTACATTCTATGCTACTTATTCTCTATACCTTTTCCCCCCTCTCTCCTCCCACCCCCCCCTGCTGCTAGCCCTCCATGTGCCCTCCATTTCTGTGGTTCTGTTCCTGTTCTAGTTGTTTACTTAGTTTCTTTTGGTTTTGCTTTAGGTGTGGTTGTTAATAATTGTGAGTTTGCTGTCCTTTTACTATACATGTCTTTTTCTTTATCTTCTTTTCTTAGATAAGTCCCTTTAGCATTTCATAAAGTAAGGGCTTGGTGATGATGAACTCCTTTAACTTGACCTTATCTGAAAAGCACTTTATCTTCCCTTCCATTCTAAATGAGAGCTTTGCTGGATAGAGCAATCTGGGATGTAGGTCCTTGCCTTTCATGACTTGGAATATTTCTTTCCAGCCCCTTCTTGCCTGTAAGGTCTCTTTTGAGAAATCAGCTGACAGTCTGACGGAAACTCCTTTGTAGGTGACTGTCCCCTTATCTCTTGCTGCTTCTAGGATTCTCTCCTTTGTTTTTACGTTGGCTAATGTAATTATGATGTGCCTTGGTGTGTTTCTTCTTGGGTCCAACTTCTTTGGGGCTCTCTGAGCTTCTTGGATTTCTTGGAAGACTGTTCCCTTTGCCAGATTGGGGAAGTTCTCCTTTATTATTTGTTCAAATATGTGCTCCATCTGTTGCTTTTCTCCTTCCTGTTCTGGTACCCCTATAATTCGGATGTTGGAACGTTTAAAGGTGTCCTGGATGCTCTTAAGCTTTTCCTCAATTTTTTTGAATTCTTATTTCATCATGCTTTCCTGCTTGGTTGATTCTATCTTCCTTCTGGTCCACTGTATTGTTTTGAGACTCAGATTCCTTCCTTTCACTATTGGCTCTCCTCCACGTATCTTCCTGCATCTCTTTTATGGTAACCTGCATCCTTTCATCTAAATTGCGCCCAAAATCAACCAATTCCATGAGCTTTCTGATCACCAGTGTTTTGAACTGTGCATCTGATAGATTGGCTATTTCTTGGTCGCTCAAAAGGATGAGTCCTGGGGGACTGATCTGTGCTGTTGGATACATGTCTTAGGTCTTTCCCTGTCTCTGGTCGCTCTTGTTATGGTGGCGGGGGGGAGCCTTAGGTGTTCACCGGGGCTGGGCACCCTGGTCGCTAGATTGTGACGTTATATGTGGGGGCGGGGGCGGGAGCGGGAGGGGACAATGGCGATAGTTTCGTTCTCCCGGGCTCAGGCCCTTCCTTGGGATCCTGGGCTGCGAGCTCTGCCCTGGTCCACAATCGCTGCGCCACCGGTCCGCCAGCCGCAGCTTGCGTACTCAGGGTCCACCGCTGCGTTCTTGCGCCCCGGATGGCTGTTGCGCCGATTTTGTGCCAGATTTTCCCCGACCTCTGCGCGCCGCCGACTCGCGCCAGCCCCGCGCCTGCCTGGCTCGTCGTCTCCTACCAGTCTGGATGTACAGGTTTACTTCAACTTCTTGGCTGTCCAACTTCCATTCAGATAAATCCTGTCAGTCCTGAGTGATATTCTATCTGTAAATTATTGTTGTTCTAATCTTGGTTGTGGGAGGAGGCACTGTGCATCCACCTATTCCTCCATCTTGCTGGAAGTCCCGCCTTTTTATTTTATTAATAGTACCACTTGAAAAACAATTTTAGAAATTTTGATGAAATATAAAATCTCAGTATCTTTAATAGTTCATGTTTTTTGTATTATAAAACTTCTGCCTATCTAAAGGCCATACAGATTTTTAAATTTTTATTCTAATTCTATAGGTTTAGATTATATTTGTTAGCTGCTTGGTCAATAAATTTATTATTGTCTTTATCTGAAAAATCTTCATAGAAAACTGTTGGTTGGGTTATTAGCTCTTAGCAGCCGGTTCCTGAGCTCTGAGGAGACTTACCTTCTCCTGAGCTACCTGACGTTTCTTCTGGGCAAGAGACATTTTGTAACAGTTCTATCTCTTCTTTGTAAGTTCTTTCTTAGGCTTCTTCTCATATACTGGATTCTTGCATGTAGCAGCATGAGCTTTCTTACACATCTCCTCCATCATGTCTGGAGTTACATTGCTCTTTATGCACTGAGAGAATTGTTTCTTGTAAGCATCTTCATTTTCTTCCCTTAGGTAACGCATATAATCTACACCATTCTAACCCACGATGTGTTTCTGATATACTTCTGCACTGAGTTCCTTGCTTTCTGAATCATAACCAGGGAATTGGTACCCCTTGGGGCTCCAAAATCTTTATTTCCAGTAGTACTTCTGGCAAGCTCTGCATCCAAATAGCAGATGAAGGCACCAGGTTGACCATCAGTGCTTTCCACATTGTACTCCCATCTCCAGTCATCTCCATGTGGCCTTCCTAGATCTTGTCCGTGCCAAACGTATTGAGTAGCCTGTGGGCCAGCAGCAGGCCAGTCTGATGCACTGCAGCATGTTTTGTGAGGCCAGCCTTCACGCTGTACTTGGGGAGTTCCTGAGCATGAGCTGCACAAACAGTCATACCCCCTTCTGTATCTATACGGGCATAAGCAGTCTGACAAGGGATGCCTCTGTTGGTTACTTGAACTGTCATTCTGTATTTGGTAGTGTAGTACTTATCTTTATCCTGGGTTACCAAGCATTTCTGGGCATAGTAATCAATTTTATCCTCTTGTCATCTAAATTTCACTTGGTATCTCTTGAAGTAGGCTAACTTTAGCGAACCCCACCCTGCAGAAGAAAGACCCTTGTCCTCGGCTTGCCACAGACCTGCAGGCCCAGCACAGTGAGGGGGGCAGTATGGGGTGGGGCAGGAGGTTGGGCGAATATAGATTTAGATTTTATATTCAAGTATATAATCCATTTTGAGTAAGTTTTTGTGTATGGTGTAAGATAAAGGTTGATATTAATCTTTTTTATTTCACATACAAATCTAGTAGCATTTGCTGAAAAGACTTTTCTTTTCCCATTGAATTACAGTGGCACCTTTGTCCAAAATCAATTGCCCATATATATATATGAGGATCCAATTTTGGACTCTTTTGATGTACATTCTTTTTTTTTTAAGGGTATATCAAGTTTATTTATTTATTTTATTTTATTTATTTATTTTTAGAGAGAGGGGAAGGGAGGGAGAAAGAAAGAGAGAGAAACATCAATGTATGGTTGCCTCTCACATGGCTTCCACTGGGGACCTGGCCTGCAACCCAGGCATGTGCACTGACTGGGAATTGAACTGGCGACACTTTGGTTTGCAGCCCGTGCTCAATCCACTGAGCTACGCCAGCCAGGGTATTGATCTACATTCTTATCTTTTCACCAATACCAAATTATTTTGGCCACTGTATTAACACTAATACAGTACTGTAGTGTATAACAAGTCTTGAAATCAAATAGGGTAAGTTCTCCAACCTTGTTTTTTCAAAAATTGTTTTGATTGTTTTAGACTATATACATCTTCATCTACATATTAGAATTAGTTTGTTAATTTCTACAAAAATACAACAAAAGCTCTCCTTGCTAGAATTTTCATTGGGATTTCATTGAATCTGTAGATTCATTTAGACATTTGTCATCTTAACAATGTTGAATCTTCCAAGCCATTAGAAGCTAGGTGAATTTTCCTTTTTTTGTTAGAGGTAGTGTTCGATACACTGAAGACAATGGAAACACTAACTCAAAAGATATATGCACCCCCATGTTCACTGCAGCACTATTTACAATAGTTAAAATATGGAAACAATCTAAATGTCCATTGACAGATGAATGCATAAAGAAAATGTGATGTGTGTATATAATGGAATATTATTCAGCCATGAAAAAGAATGAAAATCTTGCCATTTGCAACAACATGGATAGACCTTCAGGGCATTATGCTAAGTGAAGTAAGTCGGAGAAAGACAAATACCCTGTGATCCCACTTGTATGAGGTCTCAGTTTACGAAAAAAAAAAAAAAAAGAGAGAGAGAAAAAAAACTCCCAAGTTCATGTATACACAGAACACATTGGTTGTTGCCAGATGAGAGGCGTGAGGGGTTGGGTAAAAGGAATGAAGGGAGTCAAAATATATGAACTTCCAGTTATAAAATAAGTTATGAGGTATAATGTATCACTACATTACATAGTGATTATAGTTATAATAATACTGTATTATATATTTGAAAGTTGCTAAGTGTATAGATATTAAAAAAATAAATTTTGTAACTACATTTGGGAATGGATCTTAACTGGACTTATTGTGGTATCATTATGTTATACATCTGAAATTCATGTTACATATTAATTATATCTTATAGGTTTGAGAATTAAATTATGTAGATATATGTCAAATAATTAGAACAAGACCTGACATAGAGTGAGTGCTTAAAAGCTATTTGCTGCCTCTGACAACAACCATTATCATTATTTTGAGATTTTATCTCTGGCTACTTTATCAGAAATATCATTTGGAAGAACATTTTATATAATGCATGTATTTTTATTTACTTATTTACCACCCAGAAGAATGTCATGGGAATTCATAGGAATGCTGAAGTTGCTGAGCATGGATGTAACTTTTTCTTTTGAGCTTATAGCTTAACAATATTTTCAGCCATTTCCCTTCATTTCATAAAGTGTCCTTTTTTTCTCTCTCCCTCCCTCTTTCCTGTTTATTAATAATATTTATATAGTGTATGAATACAGTTGAAAATATAGCGAAATGAATACATTTTGGCAAAATCATGAATTTTTAAAGCTGATATAATTTAGTTATAGTATTTTATTTCAATTATTTTCTTTTGGTTCTCTGAATGTCAATTATATTTGTAGCAGTTTTGGAAGCTAAAGAGCTCTGAGGAATTAATAGGTGCATTGTTTCATGTAGGAAATGTTCTGAAAATACCAGCCTTTATTACTCAATATTTATTACCTAACTTTTAGTTGTGCTTTGATCAATTTGATGCTCATTTGAGCTGTTAAGAAATGTCTGTTGTACAAAAGTCTTGGCTATATGGAAGTTTTAAAAACATGTCATTTGTTCCAGTGTTATTTTTAACATTTGTAAATATATTTTTTCTTCTCTAGGGGAAGGTGGAAAACTGGTTGACAGAGGAGATAACACTTACGGAGGAAAGTGGGTCATAAATCCTAGTGGTGGGTTGATTTCAAAGGGACACCCACTAGGAGCCACAGGTAATAATGCACAGAGTTTTCACACATTTTTATTATCATTTGGCATAAGTGTGAATGGTTAGTTATTGATTTGAATGAAAGATTGTATTCTCTGAACTTGGTAGCCAGTGCTTTAAATGATTATTTAGCCACAGTATTTTTTGTTTTCCTTTATGTACATTATACTTCAGTGATCTTGATTAATTAATGAGTATTTGAATTAGTTGGTATTCTAAATTCAACTATTTATATTTTTTAAAGTTTGATTATTTTCAAATAGGTGTACAACTTAACTAACAAGATGTTTCCCAATAGAGATCTGGCTACACCTGCTAGATATGAATCATTTAAAATGAACGCATTAATTTTATAGTTGTATATGTGGTTGGTGTTGCAAGAAAATTTTTTCTTTGGAGACAACTGAATTAGAAGTTATAAAATATAAATTTTATTATGGCTGTACTGCTGGCTGGCCATGTGACTATTTTGATTAATTACCGATTGCTCAATTACTCACTTTGATTCTTAGTGTCTTTAACTGTAAAATGAAGAAATTATACAAAAAAAACTTCTAAAATAACTTAGCACTAAAATTCTGGGACTTATTTTTTTATGGATAGGTGAGTTTTATATTTTTCTATATTGTCATGTGAATTAAGTAAAATTTTATAAATTCTCACAGATTATAAAGTAGAGGTGTTAGAATTAATACTGTATTCATTATAGCAATTAATTTTGGTTTATTTCTGTTTATCACTCAAATTTAGTGGAGAAAATGGATGTACATAGATAGATGGGGAGTAAGGGAGAAAGAGAGTAAGATGTGTACACACAGGTAGTTAGTTGTAGTATAAGGTACCACCTTACTATTTGTTTTCTTCTTTGTATGTCTTTGGTTCCTTTCTCTTTTTCATGCTATCTTTTTACTAATTGAGTAATTTTTAGTATTTTATTTTCTCTCTTTTATTGGATTATTTATTTATTTTTAAATCCTCACCGGAGGATATGTTTATTGCTTTTTAAAGAGAGAGGAAGGAGGGGAGGGAGGGAGGGAGGGAGGGAGAAAGAGAAAGAAACATCAGTTGGTTGCCTCTCACATGCAACCCAACTGAGGTTTGGACCTGCAACCTATGTATGTGCTTTGACCAGGGATCGAACCTGCAGCATTTTGGTGTACAGGACCATGCTCTAGCCAAATGATTAGCCAGCTGGCCAGGGTTCTTTTTCATATTCTTTAGTGGTTGCTCAAGGATTTACAACATGATCTTTATCACAGTTTACCTTCAAATAATGTTACACTACTTCACATATAAGGGCTTTTTACAACAGAATATTTCCATTTACCACCCCCCCTTCCTTTGTACTGTTATTGTAATACACGTTTCAGGAATGAAACAGTAATTACTAGTACTGTCCTCCCACCATTTCTACAAAAGGATAACATAATGTTTGCTGCTAGTAATTAATCCCTTGTTTGTATCAGAGTGCAAAAAGTAATTTATAACCCTGTCAGGAAAAGGACATTCTTTAATTTGTAGAGAACATAATTTTCCTTCTGATATGGCAGCTGCAAGGCACCAATATCTCTATGTAAATACTGTGCTAGTGCTACACAGACATTATTTTTGAATTATTTTTTCTGCCTTTGGTAAAGGGACTAAACTGTTTCCTTTTATCCATCAAAAGAGTTAGGTCATACTGCAGTGCTGTTTTTGTCACTACTGGGATTAGAGAAGTCGGGGTGGTAATAGATATTTCTGTGGTGTGGTCATTGAAGCCCAGAGAGTTACAGTTTGCATTTGAGAACAGTGATGTATACTCTCCTTCCAGACAGCTTCCTCACTCTCATATAGGAAGCTTCTGTTTCATCAGGAGATGAATGTGACATTTCAGTTACTTGTTTTTATTGACATACAACTTTTTTTCTCCTCTGAGAGAACATGTCTTTATTATAATTGGCTTACCATTCTGAAATATTTTTCTCCTGCCACCCACCGAAATACCCAGAAACGATGTTTTGTAGTAACAGTATGATTTTTCATATCCATATTCTTTCTTAAAATTGAGGTATATGATTTTCATATAATAAAATGCACAGTTCTTTCCAAAACACAATTGTTTATGGCAGCATTATTCATAACAGCCAAAAGGCTGAAAAAACCCAGATGTCTGTCATCAACTCATGAATGAGTAAACAAAATGTGGTATAATCAGACAATGGAATATTCTTTGGCCATAAAAGAAAGGAAGCACTCACCCATGCTACAACATAGGTGAATCTTGAAAATATTTTGCTAAGTAAAAAAAGACCACATGTACGATGCCATTGATATGAAATTATCAGAATAGGCAAATCTACAAAAACAGAAAGTGGATTAGTAGTTGGGATGGAGGGAGGTGAAAGAGTGATAGCTAAAGAGTGGGCTTTCTTTCTTTAAAAAAAATTTATTATTTATTTTTAGAGAGGGGAAGGGAGGGAGAAAGAGAAGAAGAGAAACATCAGTGTGTGGTTGCCTTTCATTGGCCCCTACTGGGGGTCTGGCCCACAACCTAGGCATGTGCCCTGACTAGGAATTGAACTGGTGACCCTTAGATTTGCAGGCCAGTGCTCAATCTGTTGAACCACTCCAGCCAGGGCAAGAGTGGGATTTCTTTTTGGGGGTACTAAATATGCTCTAAAATTGATCGTGGTTAAAAACCATTTAATTCTTTTAAATGGATGATTGGTTTTGACAATTGTATACATCCATGATATTACCAGCTAAAATAAGATATAGAACATTTTCATCACTCCAGAAATGCCCAAATTGTGTCCATTTCCGCTAAATCCTTTGGCTTCCCTCAAACACCTCTCCTCCACTCTCCAAACTCCTCCCCCACTCAGGCTAAGATTTTTTACTTCTATCATCCTAAGATTTGTTTGGCTGATCCTAGAACTTCATGTAAATGGAATCATGTAGTGTATACATGTGCTCTTCTGTGTCTGGCTTCTTTCACTCAGTGGAATGCCTATAAAATTTATCCAATTTTTTTTGGTATCAGTAGTTCATTCTCTTTTTTTATTGCTAAGTAATATTCCATTGTTGAAATTCACTAGTTTGTTTACCCATTCCCTCCTGTTGATGGACATTTGAGTTTTTTCCTGTTTGGGGCTATCATAATAAGGCTGTTATGAACATTTTTGTACAAATCTGTTTGTGGACATACCTTTTGCATTTCTCTTGGGTTAATCACTCAGAGTGAAATTGCTGGGTCACAGGGCAGATGTGTGTTTTGCTTTATAATAACCTGCTAAATATTTCTCCAAGGTGTTATCATATGCTTTTTAATGTTATATAGCTGGATGGCAAATTTTAACATTTAACAAGTCTTTCTCTTCTTTCTTACCTTTAGTTTTGTATTCTTTAGAGTCAGCCCCTTTTAATATTTATTTTGTATTTTTCCAAAATTGTTATGCTTGTACAAACACATCCGCATATATGTGTTTATACAATCTTTCTGTATTTATGTGTGCACGTGTGTAATGTGTCACGTGTTGTTTTAGGGTTAGGGTTAGGATTGTTTTTTAACTTACATCTTTAATGTCTTACTGTATTATCACTTACAGATATTCTTTATTCTTTTTTTAAATTTATCTTTCTTTAAGATTTAATTTATTTATTTTTAGAGAGGGAAGGGAGGGAGAAAGAGAGAGAGAGAGAGAAACATCAATGTGTGGTTGCTGGGGGCCTTGGCCTGCAACCCAGGCATGTGCCCTGACTAGGAATTGAACCTGTGACACTTTGGTTCGCAGCCCGTGCTCAATCCACTGAGCTATGCCAGCCAGGGCTTCTTTATTCTTTTTAATGCCCGTGTAGTATTCTCATTGTAAAACATTTACCTAGTCATTCATTTATTGGTGGACATGTAAATTCTGTGCAGTCTGTTATGACGAAGAATGCTGCAGCTAGCATCTTTGTGTCATTGCACACTTTTGCGGTTATGCCCGTAGGATAAATTCCAAACAGGGGACTCGCTATGTCAAAGGTTAGTATGTATTTAAAAATTGGTGGTTATTACCAAATTTTCCTCAAAAGAGGGCATACCAATGTATATTCCCATCAACAGAGTATAAGAGTGCTTCTTTTTCTACAATCTTGTCAACATTAGATTTAATTTGATTTATTATTTGTTTTGAGAGAGAGAGAGAAAGTTAGGGAGAAAGAGAAGGAGAGAAACATTGATGTGAGAGAGAAACATCAATTGGTTGCCTTCCATTCATGCACTGACTGGAGATTGAACCTGCAACCCAAGTATGTGTCCTGACTGGGAATCAAACTGGTGACCTTTTGGTTTGCAGGATGATGCCCAACCAACTGAGCTATACTGGCCAGGGCAACACTGGATTTTATTTTTATCAAATGTAAATAATTTTGCCAATCTTGACAGGTTACCCAGTTTTTTTCCCCTAGGGCACTAAAAAGCTAACCTAAAACACCCCAGGAAAATAGCAGTTATCCATTTTTTTAAATACTTAAAGAGAAACTCTTACTGTCTTCAGATATCTTTTGAAAACCCTTTGCAATATTTATGTGAGTCTACACTGTTGGTGAAAATTTCCTCTTATTATCAGTCTTTGAGTGATAGCATTTAGTGTTGGCATAGCATTTTAGGGGAAAAACTTATAAATCTTGATTTGATTGGTAGTCTGAATAAGGATGAGGAATTATTACAGAGTAAATGTTTACTTACTACATATTGTGATTTGGATATATTTCAAATAAATTCAACCCATTAGCTGTAGCCCAAGAAAGAATTCAGACTCCTGGAAAATATTTCAGAATGACAGCACTGAGTAGTTTAAATATTTTCCTCTGGTTACTTGGACAACAAACAGCAATAGGATCTTAAGAAAATCAAGAGAGTGCTTTTACAACATGCTGAGTTAAGATGGGGTAGTGAAGGTACAGAGTTCTCTTCTATAAATGGTGTTAGCTTAACTGCGACATATTGCTGCTTTGGTGGGAATTCAGTACTGGAGA